CTCATTTCCCAGGATCATGTACCTAGCACCCACTAACCCCAGGCTGGCCTGGCTTGCCTGAACTCAACATCCACTATCATGTTGCGTATCCTGGGTCAGTCCAACCTGATTTCAGTTTCAGCTCCTGCTGGTTGGTGCTGTAGTCTAGCCCAGCCCAACATGATCCCTGTCCTGGCCCTAATGTGAACTGGATAGTGTTGAGGTCTAACCTGTCCCCTCCTGCACCTTGTCCTGATTCTCAGATCTGCCAGCAGATATTATGAACTGGACTAACCTGGTTTGTTCCCAAACCTGACCCACATGTATGCTGTCCTGTACTATAACCTAATGCTCCTTGCCTCACCTGCATAGACTGTGTCCCAATGAAAAAGTTTCCAAAGCTCCTCTATTGGGTCTCCTCCCAGTGGTAACTCTCACACATACCAGTGGGTCCTTGGCCCAGTTTAACTTGGTTCACTTCTTGTCCTTGCAGGAACAGTGACCTTGCTGAACTAGCCCACATCCATTCTGTTTCTTACTGTTGGGTTTTGTAGCCCAGCCACACCTGCTCAACACCCAGACATAGCTTTTGTATTGTCCAGTAGGAGTCAAGACTTGACGCAGCCCATTTTATACCCACCCTGGCTCGCACGAGTAAACAGTGAGTGCTGGAATCGAGTCCAGTCTGTCACTCCCCAGACCCAGTCCACACCCGCACTGAGGGAGGTTGTAGCTATGTCCAGCCCAGTCCACTGCCACCAATCAGGCTCTCATTCTATCAGCGGGAGCCTCAACCAAGTTGGGGCATCCTCTTAGCCCTCCAGCTAGGCCTGATCCAATCCACAGTTCTTAGGTGTGCCAGTGGAGATCGCAGTTCCACAGGGGTGAGTCCACATCCCCACCCACCATGATTCTGCTACCAGACCGATTCTGTCATGTTCTAGCTATTGTCATGGCCTATCCTAACTTCACCTGTCCCCTGTTCTGACTATCCGTGGTAGACCCCAGCCTTAGCTTTAATGTGTGCCAGTGGGTGTTGCTCATTGATAGTTTATGTTAACTATCCTAGCTCAGTCTCCATGTGCTGGTACTTTGGCCTGACCCACAAAGGTCCTCCTGTTCCTCCCTCCAAAGCATTTGGTTTCAGCCTCTTGCTTATCTACACGGACGGTGGCCTTGTCTGTGGAAGTCCCATAGCAGTAATTCCTCACCTGGTCATGAACCCACATGTCATCACTCACCCCACCTGTGCGATCCCCCAGTCTGTTTGCAAATGCACATCCCCAAGTCCCCAGAGTACCCTGCCAGAGTGCATTGACAGGCACCGAGGACTTCACCCAGTATCATTGATTTCCCAGGTGGCCCTAGCATCCTCCCGACCCTGGGGGGTGAAGGTCTCCCCCTACCTAGCATGGTGGTCAGAGACCACTGCAGCAATCACCTGACCTAGGTGGGGAATGTACCGGCATGCGGTTGGAGACCACTGAAGTGGCCGCCTCTCATTTAGTGATTTAAATCTTGAGGTTTATGAGCACACTAATTAAGACAGCTTTTGTTATCCACCCATGTGTATCCTTTCCCTCAGGGAAAAAGAAACTTGCATAAAAAGGAATCTGTATTTTATGCTCTAAGTTAAAACTCAACCAGAGCACATAATCTCATGCAAAGGATATACCTAGTCAAAAGATTTTAGGAAGGCATGAAGCTATTTCACACAAATTAAATTATGCTATTCTTTTTAATATTTTCATTAATTTTTACATTTTACATTTTATATCTCATTTATTTTACATTGCTGAAATATCTGACACACTCAAAGTGTTACAACAGCTGAAGACTAAAAATTTGCTCAGAAGACGAATAACATAATAGCTATAGTGATTCATTGTAGCAAAATTCTAAGCCTAATCAATGGTACTTCTTGTTATGCTGTTTCCTAGTAGTATTCTCCATTTTCACAATTAACTATTACCAATATAAAGCAAATGAGATGTGTTACCAAGTAAATTCTCTTTGTGAATAGGTAGTAAAATGTTTTCACAAGCAGAGGCAATCAACAGACTTCCATGTCTACTGATAGCAACTGAGACTGGAAAATCTCATTGAAATGAAAAAATTTTTTGACACATAATGGACAGTAAACTGATATTTCTTAACTCTTTGCCCCCTCACCCTTATTATTTAACTTGCAAAAGAAAGGTGCTTTTGCATTATCCAGCAGCACCCAACATTTTCTTAGCAAACTTCTCCCAGAGAATAAATAATAAGGAACGAGCTCTCTTTTCTGTTTTCTCCAGTTCAATTTTTGTTTTTTCGTGCTCTCCATCTTCTCTTTGTTAACTTGCTTAAAGCATTAGTTGAAAGGAGAGTGTCAAAATCAGAAGGAGTTAGGATAAAATGAAAATGAAATAGCATTTCATTTAACTAAGTCACTTTGTCATTCAAGCAAAAAACAAAGGAGTCCTCTGAAATAAACACTTTGCAGTGAATTTTGCTTATGGTGTGCAAAGAAAAAGCGATGAAGAACATTTGAAGAGTAACAAGTTTTCTGGATTTAGCACTCAGAAAATTTTATTTCCCCTAAGATGTGAAATCTTCTCTGGAACATTTAGACAAAGAAATAACTGAGTTTGACTGCAGAATAAAAACTTCTGTGTGACCAATACTGACTTGCACTTGGTTGTCAAGTGCTTTCAATTCAGCCCTCCCATAATAACCAAAGGGTTTAATCAAATGAAAAAAAAAATATCTGAATTGGTTTGGCTTCCAATCTTGGTGACTGAGCTTTCAGGAAAGTGATGTCTGTATTTTATTATAACATTCACAAAACAAAGTGAAATTGTTCAGCAGGAAACTGAAAGGTCAATGTCTCTAAAAGAAAACATTCATCTGTCACAAGAGTTATTTGTCTTAAAAAAAATGATTTGCTCCATTGTTGGCTTCTTCCACACACTCTAGAAGGGTAACATTTGGAAGTTTTGTAAACTGCAGAGTAAAAATAAGTTAAATTTGTCTTTATTGTATAACATAGCATTATAAATAATTAAGGCTTATCTCAAATAAGCTAATTTCCATACTCTTATCGGTATATATTTTTATCAGCACCATGGAGTAAGCAATTTGAGCTGTGTACAATGTACAACACCGCAATAACGCAGAGTTTGATTTGAAAAGTCAAAGATATTGTCTGGCTTGCAATGCTGACAAATCTGTCTCATAGTTTTTAAAAAATCCATAATCCCTAGTTCTAAATGTGTAACAAAGATCATACTAATGGTGTAATACTGACTTGCCATGTTTTCGTTACCAAAAAGGTCATAACATTTTATTAGCATTAGATAAATATCACTTTTTAAGATAAAGTTTCTTCTTATGTGTATGATTAAAAAACAATTTTGGTTTGAGAATGACATGTAATTTGAAAGCAGAGACTCAACCGCTCTATTATTGGACGTTATCACTATTGTAATAGTAATTCACATGGATAGATAGATAAGATAGATACAATAATACATACAATTGTTAAGAAAAAGGACATGGCATTTATACATTTATCCAAGAATAAATTTGAGAGTAATTTTTTTAAACAAACACTTTTTAATGTAGCTGTAAGTCCCTCAGCTAATTCTTAATTGGTTCATACTCATTTGATATTAAATTCTGTGGATTTTGATATACCAATAATTGCTCTAAAAGAAGCTTTCATTTGAGATGTTATATAACATCATATCAATAGTCAACAATATGACTTCGAATGTGTTTGGTAATCGAAACAAGGCACCAAGTAATGCATGAAGTAATGCATTAATATAAAACACTGTAAATTCATTAAACGATTTGGGATTGCTTTAAGACAAAGTAATTTATAAGCAAATTAAATCTAAGATACACAAATATGCAGCTTTCAAAGAGATTTCATGATGAAAAACAGGCATCTGGGATGAAGAGTTATTTGAAAAATAATTCAATTTTCTAAATTAAGGTCAATAAATTAATAATATACATTGTATTACACTGTGTAACTTTTAAGGAAGCATATTTACTTCTTTAAAATAGCATTCATTCACTTGAAGATTTAAAGTAGTAGCCTAACACTTCAGTAACATGTTTTCCAGGTAAGATAGTAAGTAGTCTTTAAACCATTGTTGACAAAATGTCATTTTAAGAACTGAATATTTTGTCTTTTCCTGAAAAAGAAAAGAAAGGAAAAGAAAGAAAGAAAGAAAAGAAAGAGAGAAAGAAAAGAAAAGAGAAAAGGGAAGAAAAGAAAAGGGAAGGGAAGGGAAGGGAAGGGAAGGAAGGAAGGAAGGAAGGAAGGAAGGAAGGAAGGAAGAAAGAAAGAAAGAAAGAAAGAAAGAAAGAAAGAAAGAAAGAAAGAAAGAAAGAAAGAAAGAAAGAAAGAAAGAAAGAAAGAAAGAAAGAAAGAAAGAAAGAAGGAAGGAAGGAAAGAAAGGAATTTTACATTTACCTGGAAGGCTATCTGGGATTCTGATTGAACTTTAACAGGACAGTTTCAGGAACAAGCCCCTACTATGATATTTATCCAATATTCTCCAATATATGAACTCTGTCATGTCATCTGATTTTGTTTCCTTATTTCCATATTTTAAAATGGCAGGATATGAATGGCTCAGTAGGTCTCTTTGTTCCTTTTCTTTTTGTCCCAACACTTTTCTTTATGGGAAAGAGATATAAAGCTACACAGGAGAAGACCATAAAAAGGTGCGGAGGACTGGAAAGTTGATGGAACAGCCCAAGTTCAGTGCTTCATTTTAACCTGCAACACTTCATGATTTTCCAATATTCTGATTCCACACGAACTTTCAGTAATCATTTAAATGACCTTAGTTAGTAATACCCAGGGAGGACAGTGATACTCTGCAGACATCACCAAGAAGGCCTCTAAAAAAGTATATAAAAACTTAGAGTGAAAAAAATAATAAAGGGCTTCTGGACTCTAGCCCTCATCCCAGGGGAAAAGAGTGGAAGTGAGAGAGACACCCAGTTTTTTGTTCATTTGATTAGATGATTCTCTTAGCCTGTTCTGTTTTGTTTGCCTCAATCTTGCTTTGTTTCTTGAATTCAGGATGGACTCCCAAATCTTCTCTTAATTTATTGAGTTCAAATTCATGGAGAATCTTGACAGTCATTAACTTTTCTCGCTTGATTCTATCCACAACATCTTTTGGAACATCAGGTATCATCCAGGCCAATAGAAACTTAACCAAAAACACAATATGCTAGAAAAAATGTAAAGGAAAATCCAAGACACAATTAGAACTGTCAACATCAGTAATTCCTCGTAAATCATTGCGATTGTTAAATACTGTGCTGAACATGGGAGTTATAATGGCAAAAACAGGGGACTCTATCAAAGTTCAAAACAGTTCATGATTTGTCAAATAGTAAGTAACTACCCTATGAAGTTCCATTAGAGGGAAAGAATCCTCAAAGCATACTGATGCTTTAAAATGACATAATGAACAAAGACATTATAAACAAAGGATGGTTTAAGCTTCAGAATGGTATAGCATTTCTACAACAATATCAGAAACATAAAGAAAATGAAGCAGTGCTTTACAAACTGTCAGAAATATCTAAATAAAGTTAACAGGAAAATTTTTCAGGAAAATCTATTTCAATCTGAATTCTGTCCCAAATAATTACAAATAGGTAAAAAAGATATTTTTAATATGTAGTACCTCAAAATTTAATTAGTTATAATTGTTTGCTCAATTACTAAGATATATGCTTCATCAAAATAAAAGAAAATATGAAAAACATAAATAAAAGGATAGTATTCCACAAGGAAAGTTATAGGAGTTTAGGATGATCAAAAAATTAACATGAAAAATAAAATGAATAAAGATGAACAGATTTTGATACAAAGTACTAAACTGAAAGAAATAAAATGATTGACAATGTGTGAATGCAAGTTGTAAAAGAATGGCAGGGATAGAAATTGTAATAAGGATGTATATTCACAGTATGATACATGGCATAGAGATGATCAATATTTATAACGCTATAATTTATAAACTCCAAAATCACTACCTATCTATAACCTCTTATTCAAAATGCTGACAAAAATATTTCAGATCTGTGGGTGAGTCAATATTTTTAGGGTATATGTATCGAGATGTCTATAGTGGTACTCTTTGCCAAACACTTAAATATTTCTTCAACAAGATAAATCAATTGTAGGAATTGTGGTAACCAAAAGGCAGGAGAAGGGTTAGATTTCTGTGTGTATCTGTGGACAGGGTGTAGATCTGTCGGGGGAAGTCGGGAACTATTGCCTAAAACAAAAGGCAAAGAAATAGCTACGTGAGATCTTTTCCCCCTATTGTTAATCCCAAGAAGAATGAGTTTAAAGAATTGAAATGCTTGCCTTTGGAGATTAGCATGAAATTGTACTTCTTACTGTCATATGGAATTCATTTTTGTAAGCTGAGTTTTTTTTTTTTTTAATGACAAGACATGCTTCCTCCAAAACAACTTGTTGAGACAGTGCTAAACTTCTCATGATCAAATACCTAAAGTAATTAGACAATACCGAGTAACTGCAATGAATGATAGGAGCAGCTTACTTCCATAATTATGATGAAGGTCATCTTGGCAGCAAGGACATGCCAGAATTGTATATTATGCAGATACTTATTTGGATGATCAGGAGGATTTCTGTAATCTCTATACCTGAAATTTAAAAAAAAAGCAAAGGAAAAAAAATTAGTAGTGATAGCATCAACTTGTGCAACCTAGCTATAATGAATGTGGAAACAGGTTCATACATTCAGGTCACACTCTACACAACAGAAACTCTTAAATGGAGTGGCTGGTCAGCTAAGCACATTACTGCATTTTTCCTCTATGCCTCTCTCTATTTTCTAAGGATACAAAATTAAATTTAAGAAAGTTAAATGTACATTTATTATGATCATTCCATATAATCACAATAACAGTGCTTTAAAACAAGGGACAGTTGTTAGCAAGAATTCTTGACATGATTGACATGATTTTTGATGGCATGACCTCTTAATTTTGGCTGTTCTACCTTTCCCAGGATTACAGTTGCCCTTTACCTTGCCAAATAAATACCATACACTGCACAAACTCTGGAAGTGATATACTTCATTCATTGGGATTTTTTTTTTTAAATTTCAAGAATATCCTGTATTTTAGAAGACATTAATGTAATGGACAATTTTAAACATACCTTGATGGGCAAACTAAATATCTAAACAAAGAAAATGAAACCTGCAAGTGTCGAAGTCCCGTTTACCCACAGGTATAGTGTCATTTGGGAAATCAGCTATCAGGAACACGGACAAGCTATTGTTGACATATCCTTCCAAAGCATAAGTGCCATTTGTTGCGTAACCATAATAGTAGACTAAACGGGGAATGATGTCCGACGTAAATGCAACAATGAAAGCCTGAAGAACAAAGCAAAAAGAAGACTATCAGCTGCCAATCTAATTTAATGGGCTTACTCATATCTCCCAGTTATTCGTGTAAAACTATTATAAATTATACTTGTGAGTCTTTAGTCTAAAACACGAAATAGTTCATTTCCATTGTGTGATCAATATTCCCAAGTTTCTTATCTGCAAGGTGACTAAATTGAGAATGGAACCTAAGTGTATTTGCCTCCAAGAATCATGCTCTTTCCAACATACTTGGTTATTCTCTTATATTCCTTATGGTTTCATAGTGCAGTGTCACTGCCTTTAGTCAAATACAGCTGCAACAAATTCATAAGCTAGGGCTGTGTGTATGTTGTGTGTGTATGTGTGAGAAATTGATAGGGAAGAGACGGAGATAGAAAACAATGTGTTAGTAAGCTAATCACAGCTCAGTACAATTAATTTCAGTATTTGAGTTAATAATAATGACCTAGTTCCATCCTTTACTAAACTTTGGTATTACAAACAGCATGCTTCATTTATGTTAGATAAGACCACTTAAATGCAACTCACCCTAACATTTACATTTTAGAACAATGTTTAAGGTAGAAAATCCAATATCATACTGTTGAAATATATTTGTTTCATTGAGAGTCTTCTCTTTATTCATGAATTGAAATGCATATTACAATGCATTCTCACTTCCTAATATGATAGCCTGCATTATATAGTTCATGTATGTGAATATATGTATATACTAGTTCAACCTGTATTTATCAATTTGTTTGGTATTTTGCATGAAAATTGACTTACATTAGAAAGAATATACGGTATTTTTCTTTTAAAGACTAGTTTACTCTGCCATGATACACTTAAATAACACAACATTAAACTTATAACTGTAATAAAGGACTATACTACTGTGCTAATGGGGAATGGGAGGTGGGAGGGGAAACTGAGGCTAAAGGCAGACTTTTTAAAAAGATTTATTTATTTATTATTGGAAAGGCAGATGTAAAGAGAGAAGGAGAGACAGAGAGAAAGATCTTCTGTCCAATGGTTCACTCCCCACACGACCTCAAGGGCTGGAGCTGAGCCAATTTGAAGCCAGGAGTCAGTAGTCACCACATGTGGGTACAAGATCCCAAGGCTTTGGACCATCCTTGACTGCTTTCCCTGGCCACAAGTAGGGAACTGGATGGGGAGCAGGGATGCTGGGATTAGAACCAGTGACAAACGGGATCCCAGTGCCTTGAAGGTGAGGACTTTAGCCACTACGCTATTGCACTGGGCCCTGGGAGGGAAGAATTAGGAAGAAGTTTTGTATATAATGGAAAATGATAATAACAATAAAAAGTTAAGATAATGTTTACTTATCTCCCTGACTTTAGGTCTATTAATGCTTTTTATCATTCACCGAAAGAACTTGGAATTTTTTCTTCCAAAAAAGTAACTTCCAAATAAAATTTTAAAATTTATTGCAATAAATAGGAATATAATGGTGTCATAATTTCTTCCAAGGATTTCCTTGTTTGTTTTTTTAACACATTAATTATTGACTTACTTAATAATTATATTATTATGTTTTCTAATTATTACTTATATATTTTTATTTGTTGCTATTTTTATATTTTGTCTTACAAATAAGAACATTTATTTTTGTGGATTTTTCTGTAATTGTAATTTTAATTAATACTTACAGATTTTCATTTTAATTTAGCTGCCTAATAATTACAAATCTGTTTCCTGTTTTCTGTAAGAAGTTTACTTAGAAATGTTAAGTAGTCACATTTTCTTTTTAATTGTCAAATATCTGCTTTAATTTGTAAAGCACATTTGAAGGTTAATGTGCACTTTAAAAAATTTTCTATTTTGTGGAATTTAGCTTCATAAGTGATCCAAACAGAAACTTCAAGATAAAGCAAAAAACAAACAAACAAACAGATTTTAACTTTATTTTGGTGCAAAAAGGTTAAAACCAATATGTATGTGCTATCTTTAGAAAGTTAACAGAAATCACATTTATCAAAAATTACTCAGAATTTCAATTCATTCCATATTCCCAGGCTGGATTCACTACTAATCATTTTGTTCAATAAGTAAAAAACAGGAGGATAACAGTTTCACTGCATAAACATGGGTTAAAAATGACAGTCATGGCCGGGAGCAACAGCCTAGTGGCTAACATCCCTGCCATGCACGCACTGGGATTCCATTTGGGCACCAGTTCTTATTCCGACTTGCTTCACCTGTCCAGCTCCGTGCTTGTGGCCTGGGAAAGCAGTAGAAGACAGCCCAAAGCCTTGGGACCTTGCACCCAGATGAGAGACCTGGTAAAAACACTTTGCTTCTGGTTTCAGATTGGCTCAGCTCTGGACTTTGCAGTCACTTTTGGGAGTAAACCAGCAGATGGAAGATCTTTCTCTCTGTCTCTCCTTCTGTCTATAAATCTGCCTTCCCAAGAAAAATAAATCAATCTTAAAAAACTGTGTCATGAAACTTTAATAGGAGTGACTTCAAAAATGTGTGTATTTCTAAGATTTTGCATACAATAATTTTATCTATTGCTTAATGTTTAAATTATTTAGGAATGTTTTGTACTTTCACCATGATGAAATCAATGCAGATAAAAAAAAACTGAGCTAACTGTCATTCATAACTCCCAATTGCTAAGGAAAAAAAACGATATAAAAATCACCCAACTCTAATAGGTTCACTTACATTAGTTGCAACAGAAAGAACAGCTATTCCTTGCAGAATATCTTCCCAAACACCTATGCTGTGAGCCTTAGCAGCTACAGGTCTCCTGTACTGAGTAGTAAGTTTCCAAGCATCCACTCGGATTGCTATAATATTATGCATGAGAGCAAGAAGAGGAGCCAAAGGAAAAGAGGCCACAAATAATGTGACAAATCCAAACTGAATAACTGGAGAGAGAGAATGGGGAGAGAGAGAGAAAAAGTCATGACCAACTCACCACAGTGGAGAGCAAAGGGAACACCGGATAATTCCTGCCATTTTCTCCATTTTGGAGTGACCATACAGGTAAAGCAACTCAAACCTCTTCCCATTCAACCACTTCTGTCTCCTCATAGAAGGCATGCTGTCTTAGCTGCTTTCTAGAAATAAAAGGAGAAACTAGACATGCACAATTAAATCTATTTCTTCCTTGCTAGTCCTTTTGATCTGCTTACCTGAAAAAGAAACCATTCTCCTTAAGTGTTGTGTTTAGGCTTCTACTGGTCTAATGTTTGGCATAAGCTAATCCATGTCTCACTAAACTATATATTGTTTGAGATCAGGGATAACTCATTTGCATGATTCCAGTAGCTGGCAAGAAAGTGCGTACACACATTATATATGGGCAAAACAATATACATGTTCTGGAATCAGGTACTTGTTAAGGTCCTGACCTGCAATGGCATCTTGACGTGTGTCTAAACACACTTGGCAGTTTCTGCTCATTAACACATGGGGGAGGGAGGGTTACAGAAATGTCAGCTGGCTTTTCTCCTCAGTTTTGTTTTGTAGTTTCTAGCAATGCTTGTTAAAAGAACCCATGAGATTGACAGTTAGGCGTCCCACTGAATAAAAAAAACAACGTATGAATGGGTTTTCATTAATGAAAGAAATAAAACAGTGTTCACTGATCTTCTATTTCAAAATCAATCCTGGATGTTTCAGAACTTCAATATGTTTTTTTTTCTCTCATAAGACTATTCATTGTCTTCAATGATAAAGTTCGTAGCAATTTACTCTTTCTTACTCTGCTTCCTGAACAAACAATATTGAGAGACTATTCTGCGGAAGCAAAATGAATTTTACACATTCAGTTCTCATATACCTACTTAAAATCTCTGTGGGAAATGGAAAATTAACTAATCTATTTAAATTTTCAATAAAATGTCAGATAATGATAACTGCTGAACTGTTTCAATATTAGAAATAGTACATGCAAAATTTCAAGAATCAGTTGACACATTGTTGAGTATTCTAAACAGCAATCATTTTATAAGGCATTAATTTTGATCTAATTTTAGTAATAACTCTTGATACATGTATATACAAACTTGAAAGTTGCACCAAAATTTTTGTCTTATTATCTTATAAAGCAAAAAGTATCTGATTTTGTAACCAATTACTAAACACAAAAAATTTTCTTTAATTCAGGTAAGCAAATGTATGTATTAAACTAAATAATTATTAATGTTTTTTGCTCATCTCATTAATTTTATCATGACTTTATGCACCTTGAGAGATTAAGCCAAGAAAACACTCCTCCTTAGTTTTACTAAGAAATAGAGAAAGTTGCTTACGAGGAAATATTGAGCAAATATATGAGCAACTCCCAGCATTAACTCCTCAAATTTTAACTTAAAGTTTCTTGTCTGTTAAATCACTTGAATGTTTTATGTATTTCCTGTGTTCAGTTTTGGTTTCCCTTCTTCTGGATACTTTGAGAAGTTCATGAGACAGTATTTAAATTTATTTTGCTACAAGATAATTGAAACCCATGTTATGCGATGACTATCTAAAAAAGTACACAGGGAATTTATATTATAAAAAAAAACGCATGAAGTTTTGTTTTTCTGTGGCAAAATAATTCACTGTCAGTTTTCCATTTTAAAATTTGAGAGGCAGAAATACACTGAGAAAAAGAGAGAGAGAGAGTGAACGAGAGAGAAAACACTTGCATCCATCTATTTACTGTCTACGATACAAGGGAACAGAGAACAAGAAGGCAAAAGTCAGGACTCATGATCCCCTATGTGAATGCAGGGCCACAGCCATTTTATCCTCCATTGCTGTCTTCCCAGGTGTAAGTTAGCAACAGTAATTTCACACTACAGGTTTAAAATGCTCTGAATTGTTAGGCCAGCCACCTCCTAGTTCGTGAACATTTAGGAGTACCAATGCATTATTGGTTTTAGTCATTCTGGAATGAAAGATGCACACTTCATGCATCTTAGATATTGAAAATGTTTTTCAACCTACTCTTTCAGCTATTACTGAGATAAGCAAAATAGAGAAAGAAAACAACCATTTGCATTAATTTGAAAAAAATGTTGAAAAGTTATTAATACTTGATTTGGTTCAATAACACTCAAAATTATAGGAAAAATATTTTAAAGATTGTCACACTGGGATAAATTTTATCCTGTATTCTAATTTGTAAAACAGAGAAATTCTGAGCCAGTCACCATATCCGTGTAACCATTTTGTCATATCCATGTAACCCTTTCCAATGTTAATAAAACAAATCCTTACTTTATTTTGATTTAGTTAATATTTAAAAACTGTTTAAAAATTACCTGTTTCTAGGTACTCATAGAATAACCCAAGATGCCCAAAACTTTCAAGGTCATGATCCTGTTCCCATCGGCTGTATAGTTTTTCAGAGTTGGTGCGAGTTCTTCGGCGTCTCCACCAATTCAGTGCCAAGCTGTTGAAAGGGGCACAGGAAATACATGTGATAAAGCAAGAGAGATAGCTAGCTTCAAGCTACACCTTACATACAAATTCCAAAGGTAAATTCTACAATGTTTTAATAATTTTGTGTATATCAGGTCATCAGAATGTAGTTGTAACTCTCTCAATCACAGAGTGAGTCTGTGATTGGCTGTAACCACCATCATTCCTGATTCTATGTACCAATAACCAAGCATTTTGTTACATTTATTCACATGTAAGGCTTAACAGTAAAAATGAATTGTGTCATTAATGCAATGAAAAAATGTTGTATTCAGAGTCACTTACCTACTGTATGGCAGCAACACTAGCATCTCTGGAAACAACAGCATGAACAAGAGCTGACTATTAAAGTGTCATGAATAAAATGTTACCGCCTACTGCATTTATTTATTTATTTATCTATTTATTTATTTATTTATTTATTTATATAAGATGAAATATCAGAAGCAGCTGAGGGGTCACAAGGTGGATGATCTATGGAGAGAACATGTTCTCTAGGACAACTTTTCAAAATATTTCTCCCAGATTCATCTGACTCATCTCCTATGTTTTGTGTCTTACAAGTCTCTGGGGTTCAATAAATAGTATGATTTCTTTTTGTTACAAATGCACACTGCCATAATCAGGTGATAAGCACATCACATATTCTGTAGGCATTGTTTCTGTTGTGTTAACATCATCTTCATTATCATCATGTGTCACAATCACCTGGATTTAGAATCATTTTGGCAATTTTACTGCTTGTCAAAGAATGAACAACTGGAATCATAATATCCAAGTTAAAGATTTCCTTGATGTCTACTTCTTCCTGCTTACAGTGACACTGAAGATGTTTTTGCCTTGTGTACAGAAGTCAGACATCATTTATTGTTTTCCACTGGAAATGTGAAGTGCTTCAAAATCACCCCCCTTGTTAATCATTGTCACTGGACAGTCTTGTGCCAATGGCTGTGCTGCTCACACATAGCAATGTCTTCAGTTACTGTGGTTGTTAAATACACAAACACACACACACAAATTATTACACTTTGATGATGTTTGATTATTTTTAAATTAACTGTGAATAAATGAAATGGACATCTTTTCATTTGATTATTTGTGTCCCTCACCTGTATTCCTACTGAACCAAGATCTTGTTACTTGTGGAATCTTTTACTTACTGGAGCATTAAGCATGTAAGTGAAGGAAAGAAGGAAGGAAGGAGAAATGGAAGAAAGGAAAAAAACAAAGAAAAACAAAAAAGAAAGAAAGAAATAGATAAAGAGAAATTAAAGAAAAAAGAAATGGTGGAAGGAAGGTAAGCATCATTGTATTCTTAAAATTATATTTGTGACTCACATTGAATCTATTCTTTTGTATTAATATCACATTAACATAAGACTTAATTTTAAAATGATTTGAGACTCTGAAAAACATAAATGGTCAGAGTCTTACGGAGTAAATTATCCTGTGTTAGCACCAGAAGATGATACATTCTGGCAGTCATTAGCAGATCAAGCTTTTAGGATTTCATGATTCTTTGTCTTTATATTGAGGAAGAAAAATTTTATCTTATATTAGAAATCAACTGTGATTTTAGTTTTGATCAATTCTCTTTTGATAATAGGTTGTTTAATGAATGCTATGTTTTTGGATTAGAGAGGAGTCCTTTCACACACTTGAAAGCTCTCCACTATTTTATTTATTACCATTTTTATGTTTAGATGACTTGACAATAGCTTCTCAAAATTTAACTTTTAGTAATTTTCAGAAATCCAATGAAACATGTATTATAACCTATAGAAGATATAACATTTACAGTTCCCAGTGGAATAATCACAGGGATTGGGAATGATTAATTGTCCAACTTAACTTATCCCACTCAATAGAGATGCATATTTAAAAGTATATATTAAAAATATCAAGTTGTACTATATAAGCATATACAGTTATGTCAATTATAATATTTTTTTAGAAATTACTAGCCATGGAATTTAATTAATTAAATAAAAGGCATTATTATTATCTTTTAAAGATTCATTTTACTTCTGTTGGAAAAGAGAAGGAGAGACAAAGAGAAAGATCTGTCCGCTGGTTCACTACCCAAGTACCTGCAACAGCCAGAGCTGAGCCAATCTGAAATCAGGATCAGTAGCTTCTTTTGGGTCTCCCACATGGGTACAGGTTCCCAAGGCTTTGGGCTGTCCTCAACTGCTTTCTCAGGCCACAAGCAGGCAGCTAGATGGAAATGGGAGCAGTGGGGACACAAACTGGCACCCATATGGGATTCCGGCACATGCCAGGCAAAGATTTAGCCAATATGTGATTGTACCAGCCCTATGTTTAAACATTTTTTAAGATTTATTTATTATCATTGGAAAGTCTGATTTACAGAGAAAAAGACCTTAGGCCTGCTGGTTAAATGGCTAGAGTTGAGCTGATCAGAAGCAAGGCGCTTCCTCTGGGTCGCCCAAGTGACTGCAGCATCTCAGGGCCTTGGGTCATTCTTTGCTACTTTCCCAGGCCACAACAGGAAGCTGCATGAGAAGTAGAACAGCTTGAACATGACCTGATGCCCATACTGGATCCTGGCTCATGCAAGGCCAGGATTTTAGCCAATGAGCCATCTGCCAGGCCCAAGGCAGTAAGGCAGTATTATCTTAATGACTCCTTTACTGTGTTTAAAACGGATTTAATCACTTTCCAATGAAGACACTACAATCATGAAAATAATTCTATCATCTCATATCTCATGGTTACTTAAACAAAAATGTGTAAGTTATACATACGGGAAAATTGCTTCTTTAATGTTTCCAAAAATTTGTCTCCCAGTCATTATGATGGTCAACTGTGTGGTCAATTCTATTAGACAGCCTGCAGGATCACACTATTAGAAAGAAAAAGGACAGCAAAAACAAATAAAAAGAAGACATTAATGAAGACAAAAATGTGATTTTGCAACAAATAGAGACATTCCAAACCAAATGGCTAAAATTTCAAGTTTATGGTTAGAATGGAGATGAAAGAGATACTTACACCAGCATTTCCAAGTTCAAGCATAACCCAGTCAGAATATCTATATTAGATTCACTTCTGGACTTTGTTACAGACACAGATTTCTGGCTCTCTCAATAAATTATCAGTTTTTGCATCTGTGTTATGGTTAAGGTTTGGCATGCTTTCCATGTAATCTGTATTTGCAGCCGTATTTGGAAACAGTCTAACTCTTCATCTCACAGTGGAACCTTTCATCTGCAAGGTAATTGCTACTTCTTTGCAAGAGATCTTCAATAATAAAAAAATCACTTCATATTTCATAGCTGACTGCAAAATTATGGGAACTGTAATGTTTATCACACGGCAGCCTCTAGGTGTGGACAGTGTTAGTGCCAGGGCTTCTTTAGTTTTTAAAGTTTGATGTATTTATTTGAAAGCCCAGATGAACAGAGAGAATCATGTTCTTTCTGCTGGTTCATTCCCCAAATGGCCTCAACGGCCAGAGATGGCCTGTTCTTAAGTCAGTGGTCAGGAAATTCCTCTGGGTCTCCTATGTGGGTGGCAGGGGTCCAAGGACTTGAGTCATGTTTCCTTTGCTTTCCCCGGGACTATTAGCAGAGAGTTGGTCCAGAAGGGGAGCAGCTAGAACTTGAACCAGTTTCCATGTCAGATGTCGGCATCACAGCAAATGACTTCGCCTGCTACCCAGCAACACCAGCCCCTCGACCTCTCTTGCCACTAGGCGACGCACCTGTTTGGTCTTAGGCACCCACAAAGTATCTAGTGATTACTGAATTATTGACATCACATACCTTCCTTCTCAAAAAATCCTTACCTCTTCACTTCTCCAAGTATTAAACAAGTATATGTATTTTCCAGGATAGCCCACAAACTTTCCTTTAAAGAAAGCCACGTAGAAGCAGGAAGAGTAATAATTCACAAACTGAAACAGGAACATCTTCAAGGTCAGACTGCTCTCATATTCCTGGTAAGTTCGAGGGATTTCTGGCAATTTAAAAATACCAAGACTTAGGTACTATCCTGTTTTCTTTGAAATTTTAAAATATTTGACTTTACTTATTTAAGAAATTTTGAGAATCAGAGAGACACAGAATGTTCCCATCTGTTGGTTCACTCCAAAAAAAAAAAAAAAAAAAAAGCCAGAAAAGGCAAAGGCAGGACCAGACCAGATCCAGGAGCTTTTAACTTAATCCAGGTCTCCCATGGGAAAGGCAGGAACCTAGCCACACCCATGGGGAATGCATTAGCAAGAAGCTGGACCAGAGCAAGGACTCAATCTCGTGCACTCCAGTATGAGACATGGGCATCTCAGCTACTGCCATAACTGTGAGGCCAAAAACCCACTCTTCATATCCATCTTACTGCTTTCATTTTTACTTACTTCTGTTTTTTTCTTGAATTTTCTACTTCCTGGGACAAGTGAACGTCTAGTCACAGTATTCTGAGATTGTACAGAAATATGCCTCACTCTGGGCAAAGCAGATTAGGGACTCGTGCTTTGTACCAAGACTTTTGGATTAATTCAACTACTGGAATGGCTTAGAAAACAGTTACTATTGGGCCTGACACGGTGGCCTAGCAGCTGAAGTCCTCGTCTTGAACGTGCCAGGATCGTAAATGGGCCCCGGTTCTAATCCCAGTGACCCCACTTCCCTTCCAGCTCCCTGCTTGTAACCTGGAAAAGCATTCAAGGATGGCCTAAAGCCTTTGGACCCTGCATGCACATGGGAGATCCAGAAGAGGCTCCATGTTCCTGGCTTTGGATAGACGCAGCTCTGGCCATTTCGGTCACTTGGAGAGTGAATCATCGGATGGAAGATCTTCCCCTCTGTCTCTCCTCTCTCTCTCTCTCTCTGTCTCTCTCTATATATGTATATATATATATATATATATTTTTTTTTTTTTTACTTTTCAATAAAAAATAAATCTTATAAAACAGTCAATACCCCATTCTGAGGAGTATTAAACTTCTCAGGGTTTTTTCCCCAGTTATAATATAGAATGCAAATCTATTTAAGTCAGAAGAAATTTGTACAAACGTCAAAACAGTATATGGTATGCCTAAATATGTCAGCTGTCTTTATTCTTACTGATTTCAGTCATGTTTGTCAAGGGCAATGATTTCTAACTAAGCTACATTTTCCTCTTATGAATTAAATGGCCACTTCAATCTTGAGACTAGTGTGATGCTAAATGGTGGGAGAAGTACTAGCTATCTTCCATCTCTAGTTATAATGCGTGGTCACTATTTTTATTTGATGTATCTTAAAGACAACAAAATATTAAATCCCATTCACATCACACCAGATCATCATAAAGCCAGAAAGAGTAAGGTAACATTTTTTTTGAGTTTATTCTCTCCCAACCTCATGAGCTAATACGCACCCACAGAAGTACCCAAAAAGAAACAAATTATTCCAGAGGCACAGACAATTCCTTCATTTCAAGGAAGTCGTAGGACACCCTTACATGATTTCTAATGTGAACTTGCGTGATTCTTCTCATTGAATAAAGTTGGGACTGTTGAGGTACTTCCAAAAGCAGTTCATCTGCTGTACTTTTTTTTTTTTTGGCTGATGACAGCAGAGGAAAATAAGATATAAAATAAAATAAAGCAAAACTCTTAAGAGTGTTTAATGGAGTCGAATCAATAACATGTCTGTTTCTGTGTTTCAGTGAGCGTGACATCCCTGCACAGTGTTGAAGGAGCGACATGGGCTCCGATGGCAGGATACTCGGAGAAGAGGCTGAGCCAGGAAATGCACAGCTCTTATCCTTTGTCTAAGTCGCCTGTGGAGAGACCAAAGCAGCTGTGCACTAGGTTCCCCAGGATTGAATCCTTCACTTCACTTGTGACTTCCGTTCACCATCCCACTGAACTTCAGCAAGAATTTCAATATCATGACAAAATCTTCCGGGTGCTCTAAGACAGCAACTGAGACAATAAAATCAGTACGTTTTTGAATTGTGAATTTTTCAAGATTTCTTTTGTTCTATTTTTCTCATCATTTCTTCCGAAGTCAAATACATTGTAAGAACCATACATATGATACACAAATTATCTATGTTTAGAGAAAATTGAGGATTACACATAGAATTTAGACCAACCCACCAGAGGATGTTAAAACAAGAATACTCAAAAAAGGCCTATGGAGTAAAAATTTTCTTCTTGTTTTTTTTTTTTAAGATTTATTTTTATTATTTTTTATTGGAAAGGCGGATATACAGAGAGGAGAGACAGAGAGGAAGATCTTCCATCCGATGAATCACTCCCCAAGTGAGCGCAACGGCTGATGCTATGCCTCTTCTGGGTCTCCCACGCGGGTGCAGGGTCCCAAAGCTTTGGGCCGTCCTTGACTGCTTTCCCGGGCCACAGGCAGGGAGCTGGAAGGGAAGTGGGCCTGCCAGGTAGAATCAGCGCCCATATGGGATCCCGGGCGTGCAAGGTGAGGACCTTAACCACTTGCGCCACCGTGCTGGGCCCCTTCTTGGTTTTTTGTGCTTTCATTATAATGGGCCTATGTATGGCTTTTAGAGGACTCTGGAATATCAGCCTATAGGTCTACCCACACAGAAAACTCCCTTGAAATGTATATACAGAAAATGAACACTCCAGAAGACGATTCAGAAAATGAAAATATAGCATGACTAGAAACCCATTTTCAGGGACATATTGATGATTTGGCTAGCTTACCCATTTTTGTAATCCAGGCAGATATCTTTTCATAAAAGAAATTCAAGATCAAGATGATTACAAAGTTCAAGCATGATCCTGTAAGTGCTGTGGTTAACTGGGGAGTCAGGAACCTTCTGACAGGCTCCAAGGTCGCCTCGCTCTGAATAAAACTGGCAAATATACCAAACACTGACAGGCGGTACACAATTACAGCTACCATGCAGGCGACGACAAGAGTCATCTATGGAAGGGAAACAAACAGTTGGTCACATTTGTCTCTGCATTTCCATGATGTGTGTGTGTGTGTGTGTGTGTGTGTGTGTATCTGAAACACACTATTTTCTTCACCTCATTGTACTAAGCTTATCAGCTCATATATGCAAAGCAAATTAAGTCATTCTCTGTTACTACAGATGATACAAAATGAAAACTAGCGAGATAAAATGTTTTCATTGCTTATCCTCTAGACTCAGCCTCTACAGGGACTGGCAAGTTACAGTCAGAAGGCCACATCCTATCACAGCCTCCCCTCCTCTTGCATAGATAGTCTTGAAGCTTAAATTTTATTTTTGTATTGGTAAGTATCATAAATAAAATTTTCATACAATTATTTGCCCTCTGATCATTTACAGAAAAATTAGCTGGTCAAATTTTGCTTACAATTAAACAGAATGAATATACTTACTTTCCAAAGAAAAATATATTTAAGGATTTAATTTTCCTTGGAATGTTGTCTTTAGTATTTTTTTTAAAGATTATTTTTATTGGGAGGCAGATATACATAGAAGAGGTATGTTGCTGATTCACTCCCCAAATGGATGAAATGGCTGGAGCCAGGATGTTCTTCCAGGCCTCCCAAGCAGGTGCAGGGTCTCAGGGCCTTGGGCCATTCTCTACTGCTTTCCCAGGCCACACGTAGGGAGCTGGATGGGGAGTGGAGCAGTCAGGATACAAACCGGTATTCAAATGAGATGCCAGTGCATGTAAGGCGAGCATTTAAGCCATTAGGCTATTGAACTGGACCCTGTATGTTTAGTAATTCAAGTATTTATACAGAGTGTGTATTAATTTAGTATAGTTCCGACATTGCAAAACTATAGAAATAAATTTTATATAAATTTTGGAAGGTTTTATTCTAAAAATTGAGGAATGTAAAACAAATTGCTAAGAACAAGACACAAAAAAGCAGATTATTCATTCTGGTACCATATTAAAGCTTTCTCTCAAAAAACATCCCAAATTGATTTTTGTCTCTCTTTCTATATTATCTCATCTGTTCAATGTTTGCTAAGCCATCTTAGAAAACATGCTTCTATTGAAGTTAAGAACATTAATAGCTTTAACAAGAATTGTTCAAGATAAAAAATAAACGATAAATGTACTGTTTACATTAAACTATTGTTTGCAACATTGAATGAATTATACTTCAGAGAGTAACACCACCCAGTTGCTACATTTAAAGCCAAGAGTAAAGAGAGCACCAAGATGCAAGGTGTAGGAGAACAGACAGGAAATGCTCATAGATTAAAATCATAGAGAACTCTAACAGCTAAATGGCATAGATAAAAATGCCTTCCAAAAGGCATGTGCTAATTAAATTGTCCACCTAGTATAACAATCATCCTTTGCATATTTCATTGAGGAGCAAATTTAATTTTATGAATTGATTATTCATTTTTGGTAGATCTTTAAAGTGAAGATAAACTAAACTAATGGTCTTCCTGAAACTAACCAGAGAGTACAATAAAAGTAGATTTGTTACTCTATTTTGCTTACAAGTTATTAATTAATAAAGTGTTGCATGCAATTTTTTGCTTCTTAACAGGGCTGTTCTTAAAGTTTAATTATAGAAAGTCTATGTAAGTTACCATTTATTTTAGATAAGAAGTGTTATCAAGATTAAAAAAAAGACAAGAAAGGGTAGGACAGGGGATAGCTTAAGAGTCATTGGCTTATATCAAAGAAAACATATCACATTTTTTTTCTATTTTGGGATTGGCTTATTTCACCAAGCATAATGGTCTCCAGTTGGGATCATTTTGTTGCAAATGGTAAAATTTCTCTCTCTCTCTCCTTTTTAATTCTACCAGTCAGTTATTTAATGTCCATGACATTGCTGATGCAGACAATATCAGCATCCCATTGTCTAGAGACGTCCAACAGTTTCGTTGGGAGCCCAGCTTTGATTTGGAAGTAGGGGTGCATATTGAATTGTATCTTCCCATCTGGATATGGTAGTCTCAATGACTCCATCACCATACGTTCCCTTAAGTGAGAAGCCATAAAATAATGTCAACAACAGATATGAAGTTAAAACAAAGACAAAATGAACAAAGAAAAAGAACTGCCACCATAGAGTTGAAAAAATGTGCCACTGAATAACCAACGTGTGGTTGATAAAAAGAAAACACAAATAACAGGTAAACATGTATATATACAATTCTCATAAATGAATTTTATAATGAAGACTAGCATACTGGGAAGTAAAGATATACTGCTGTATGCATCTCTAATTCCAAATAAAAAGAGCACTCTCAATGAAACTGGTAAATACATCTTGATAATACAATACTGGATTTCTACCATGGCCTGAACCTACAATGCCACGATACACTTAAATAGTAGAATGTTGGACTTGTGACTCGTACTGATGGACTAGACTACTGTAATAATCTGGAAGGAAACAGTGGGACAGAGAATAAGGAGGGTGGAAGGAGGGTGCAAGGAGAGGTGGAGAGGGGGATCCATATACTTGCAAAGCCACATCATAGAAAATAGAAATTTAAAAAGTGTTCTTAATAAACACACTCAAAGACAAAACTGAAAAAAAAAAAAAGGAATGGATGGGAAACAGAGAAGCCAGTTATGAAGCAAGCTGTGATATATAATGTTGGTATTGCAGGTAGCATTTTACCTGTTGTGCCACAGATGCCACCCATAGCAAAAATAAATAAAGAGTCATTGCATGCAGTTTTATGTTATTGCAAAACATGAAAAGCAAAGAGGAAGGAGAGCAGGAAGTACAATATCATTTTTGGATTTTTACCTATCAATTCCACAAGATTGGTTCTTTTTATTTTAGTAAACAGATAAGACTGTTGAGGTAATCCTCAGAACAGCTTTTTAGAAAGAGGGCAATGTTCAACAGAGTACTCACCCATAATGTCACTGTGGCTCCTGATAAAACATACCACGGTATACGACTCCACAGAGGCATGTGGGGTTCCATTTCCTGTAAGGGTGAAAACAGTCAGAGACAAACTCGACATCTGCCCTCAAAGCTGGAGCTCCAAACAGCAGCCAAAAATCATACAGCTGAGCTGAAGGACGAGCCTACATTCTATCGGTGGGTCCTTGCCCACAAATAGGAAATTTCAGGACTCAGATTATCACACACATTACAAGAGACATAATGGACCCACATGATGTCTTCAGTTTTCGGGGATGGTATAATAGATGAAGGAAACCACATCAAAACCTGAGAGCTGCTGTTTGCAGGAGGATAATCTAATGGCACAGCTTCACTGCCAATCAGATGAAGAACACTGATCTACAGGATGTTAAACTGGATGTTCTCTTCATAAACTTTCTTGTAGATTCATTTACTTATTTATTTGAAAGGCAGAGTGATGGAGGGCAGCCAGTGCTGGGTCAGGCCAAGGTCAGGAGTCTGCAGCTCTAGCGAAATATTTCAGATCGCCTCTACTACTTTCCTGGACACAAAAAAAGGATTATCGATTGGAAATGAAGCAGCCAGGAATCCAACTGACACTCTGACATGAGATGCCAACATTGTAAGCAATGGCTTAATTCCCTGCACCATAACACCAGCCCGGCTTCCTTTCATGTTTTTGTATAGCTGTGTAATCCCACATAGTTCAGGAGCCTCAACTTCTCAACATTTGGGTTTTAATATCACTAATGGAAAGTAAAGTTACAGCAGCTGAGCATCATACCACATCCGACACAGTTTATTTACCCCAGAGAAGACTGACACATGGTAAATGAGTTGTCAGGAACAATTTGAAATCAAGTAATTTTAGAGGTTTTCAGGAGGACTGAATGCAAAGAGAACTCTCAAAAGAGAAAACAGAGCCTCCAAGACCTCTGCAGAACTTCAGAATTGTATTATGCATATTCATGTATACAGATTCAATGCATGTATGCCCTCATGTGAATATAGGTTTGTTTGTGGATGTGTGTGTGGTGTGAGTCTCTGCATGTGTGTTCTCTTAATGCAGAGCCAAATGTGAAAATTCTGACTATGTCCAAGCACCAAAGAATTGTTGCAATTAGAAATAAATCTATGTATTTAAAAAAGCATTAAGGCTACATGAAGTAGATGATTGACAATGAACCATTACATAAGCATTTTCAAGTAGTTTCACATGTAAACATTCAACATAGGTCTATATCTTTACCTATTAAATTTTGGAAAGCCAGCTGACATATTTTAATCTCAAAATAAGAATAAATGAATATTGTTGCTAATGTGTCAATATTTTAAAAATATATCTCATATATCACCCAAACTGTTGTTGCATTTTTCTGGAGATTTTTTTTTCTTTATTCATTAATTGTGTGTGTGTGTGTGTGTGGTTTTGACACAGTAGTTACAATACATCTTGGGATGTCAGGCATACATACTGTACAGGAGTAGCAGTTTGAGCACCAGCTTTACCTCCAGTTCCAGCTTCTTGGTACATTACCCTGGGATGGCTTGTATCCTGCGATGCCTTGTATCCTGGGATGGCCTGTGCCCAGGGATGACCTGCACCCTAGGATGGCCTGCACCCTGGGATGGCTTGTATCCTGGAATGGCTTGTATCCTGGGATGGCTTGTGTCCTGGGATGGCCTACACCCTTGGATGGCTTGTGCCCAGGGATGGCCTGCACCCTGGGATGGCTTGTATCCTGAGATGGCTTGTACCCTGGGATGGCTTGAACCCTGGAATGGCTAAGTGGCTGAGTCATTGGCATCCTTTATGGTGAACCTGGATTCAGTTTCAGTTTCTTGAGTTTGGCTCAAGACAGCCTGGACTACTGTGATATTTGGGGACTAACCCAGTAGATGGAAGATGTTTCTCTTTTTCTGCCTTTCAAATAAAATGCAAATATTAAATAAGAATATTTACAGTGAATTCCTAAGCCATGAAAAGAATTTTAATGTCACACCCAAAATAGTGTCCTTAACAGAGCAGAGAGTTGTACTAAAAAGCAGTGTTTGAACCATGCTCCATTTTGTTTTTTAATAGCAGTGAGTAAAACAGTGATAACAGAATATGAAAAGAATTGGGTCTTCATAATGTATGCCCAAGATTTTGATCTTTAAAGACAAAATCCCTTCCAAACTCACATGGTAAATTGAGGAACCAAGAAGTCAAATAAACCTCTCAAAAATATATGGCCAGTTTTGCAGGTAAGCATTCTGAATTCTGGATTTCTCTGCCATCAGCACATAGCAAAAAATGAATTTCGTACTATGATAAATCATAAAGGATTATGTGAAAAAAATTGGATCTAATAAAATAATCACAAATCCACTATCTTAATCCAACTATTTTGATTTTGTGTATTAACTTAGTATCATCCATGTCTATTTATTAATGTACAAAGCTTGCCATATACACAGTATTAAAATTACATAGGCCATGTTATGATGTCTTTGATTTGCTTTAAAATATACTGCTGGCATAAATAAGATGGGGTATAAAACAAGCAAGTGTCCATGAACTAAAAATGACTTGGAGCTGGATGACAGATCCATCCATAGATTTCATTATAATACTCCTTACAAGTGAAGAAATGTGTATGGTTTGTGTGTTGGGCAATATTTTGTAGGAAATTAAAATATGTATTGTCATTTGAAAGACAACCTATAGCAAGCGTCTATTAAAATAAGCTTCTCCTTTCTCTGTTTATAAATTTACCCTGGTAACCGTATTCATTTTCCTCTGTTTACACATAGCTTCAAATTCGGGTCTCAGCTGAAGCTGTTGCTGTTCCTCCTCAAAGTCCACTAGGTCCCATTGGTATTCCAATGTGGCTTGTCGCTGTTTCCAAAACTCCAGAACTAATGTGACTACAGCGGAATATACACAAAGACAGACACAATCAAAAGATGGAGAATTAAAGTTATGATATCCAAAATACTCCTTCCACTTCTCTAACTACTTTGGCTGTGTGACAGTTCATATGTTTCAGGCAGCTTTTCTGTCACTGTTAATGCTTTTAAAACAATTACCAATTACTACTGTTGCAATGCTACGATACAGTAGCACTAAAATAACTCATGTGAAAATTTAAGTTCAATTCTTGGTGATTGAGGGAGGATATTTTTTTTGTTTCAGCTTTATTTCTTTTTGATAATCTGATTATTAAGCAATAAAAATTTTTACATGTCTCTCACTAAAATTACTCTAGGCATTAATTTCAATTTCACAGGTATACTAAAGGAAAGCAAAATTCCCCAACATAATTTGTCACTCTGTCCTCTTCCTTCCCATCCACTTCTCTTTCCCCTTCATTCCTCTCTGATCTCTCTCTCATCTTTCTTTTAATCCTCATCCTTCCATATTCTCTTTTACTTTCTTCCCTCCTTCTCTTATTGTATACATAAGTTCAACTCTTGAGGGGACAATCGCATATTTACAGAAACTACATGAAGTAGTAAGTATAGGATTAAAAAAATTTTTTTTTGACAAAATCAACACACCGATGCAATTCAGCATCAATATCGACACCAGGACACGATTAACAATCCACAAACCTACTGTATAATACTTCTAAGACAAACATGTAATTAGTACCCTAGCTTCCAATATCATAATCTTTTCTGTCTTAGCTTACATAAGTGGTATCATGCAGCTAGTATCTATTTGTATAAACTTTTCTCAACCAGTCTTGCATGCAATTGTTCTTATATGTGCCAAAAGTTCATTTATATTTATTACTGTATGCTATCACATTGTTTCATTAAATCATGTATTTTTTTTCTCCCTTCCTTACTTGATGTACATTTAAAGGGCTTTTTGTTTGTTTGTTTGTTTTTGTCATCACTTTGGGTGTGAACCAGTGGGCAGATCTTTCTCTACTTTTCTCTATAAATCTGTCTTTCCAATAAAAAAATTAAATCAAATATTTCTCCTTCTCTTTTCTGAATTTGAGTTTAAACTTCTCTTCAGGTCTTAACTGCCAAGCAGAAATGACAGAACCACCCCTCTAATTTTGATTTTTTTTCACATGGATCAAACAATTACTCCCTAGTTTTGAAATGCACATCTTTGTGCTTATTACATATTCTTTTCCATTTTATTTTGGAGACGCACAAACAAAGGAGAGGTCTTCTTTTAGCTCTTTCATTCACTAAATGCTTGCAGTATCTGGGGCCAATCCAGTCTGTAACTGGAAGCTAGGAACTGAATCTAGGCTTCTCATGTAAGTAGCAGGGACCCAAATCCCTGGGCAATTGCTTACTGCCTTCTAGGATGTGTATTAGCATGAAGATGGTTGGAGTCAGAATCAGGACTTGAATCAGGCACTCCAATATGAGACAGGTTGTGTCTAGTCATATTTGGAAAGGAAGAAGCCCATTTCCCTTCGAGTTCCCAAGTGTCTGTGTAATACATATGTGTATATATATCTATATCTATATACACACACACATATTTTGCTGAGTTATTCTTAATAAAATAGTAAAAATCTATTTTCCCACTGGCAGAAGTAAGAATTGCAAGACATCCAACTTCCCACTAAACAGAAAAAAGAGAAGTGCCAGGTTCAATATTTATAAAATTAAGATGAACTCTACTTTCTATGTGGGATTTTAAATAAATAGAGGTAGAATATAGAACAAGAAATAGAACCATTTATGGTGGATTTAGACTAAAATACCACTTGGTAGTTCTCAATAGTTTTTTTTTTATCTTTTTATTATTAAAAAAAGTTTGATAATTTGAAAGGTAGAATTACAGTTAGGAAGGGAGTGAGAGATAGAGATGATAGAGGGGGAGAAGAAGAGAGAGAGTTGGAGAAAGCATGATGGAGACAGAGTGACGGGGTGGAGATGGAGAAAGAGAGAGAAAAATCTCCCATTGCTAGTTCAGTCCCCAAATGGCCACAAAGTTCAGAACCGAACCAGGAGCCAGGGTCTTCCATGTGACTACAGGGGCAAAAGCACTTGAGTCATTATCCTCCTGCTTTTTGAGGAACAGGATCCTGGAAAGGAAGTGGAACAACCAGGCCTCAAGCAGGCATCCATAAGTGATGCCAAACATTGTGGTTAGCTCTAGCTGTTTTTCAATCTCATTTCAGTTTATACCAATGACTCATTATCATTCATTCACCAAATATTTATGTTAGTCTTTCCTGAGTAAAGTACATTCTGAGTTTTTCCTGTGGCACTGGAAGAGAGCAGGAGTGTAACAGATTTGATGCTACAAAATTGTACCACCTCTTAAAAACAGAGCAGGTTTCTTTAAGACACCTTTGTGGAATAAAGACCAAGGATTTCTCCATCATGTAAACTCAAATTATAACAGACAAGGCAATGAACTGTGTACTTACCCCAAACTCCCATGAATATTGCAAAGAACACTGTTGACTCGTTATCAAATAAGTGGGAAAACTGCAAATATAATAACAATGTCTCAGACAACTTAATAATACCAAATATAGTACAAAAGGAAGTAAATTGTAAGTTTTTCCAACATAGCTCAAGGTTCACATACCTTTGAAGCCAAACATGTAGAATTTAGTCTCCAAAAATCACATACCACATCACAGAGAGGGCACATAATCAGCTTACCTCCAATTTCAGGGTCACAGATTTCAATGCTGCAAGGGGAACAGTGAAGCTATTTGAAAAGGGACTTTCTTTGGTTGAATATATAAGCTTTCTCCAAACAACAACTTATATAACCTCTTACATGGGCAGCAGTTTCAGTAAGGGTCAACTTGCAGCAGTTGTTGACTCTTAACGGACCATCATTAAAGACATTTTCAATAAAGCACATGTCAATGAATTAACAGCAGTCACACTTAAGACAAAATACTTTCTTCCCCTCCTACTTGGACAATTCAATGGTACTTACCTACTCTGGCTACCATGCATTGATAATAAACCATAAATAAAACAGGATAAGCCAACCACAGCTGCAATGAATAGCATTTCAGTGTAAAATCCAAGAAAGGCAAAATAAATTCCAATCTTTTCTCCAAAATAATGCCTGGGAAAGAAAATAAAAATAGATTCAGAAGGAGGAAGAATGCTACCATCCAGGGAGCCTCTGTTTCATATTCAGACAGGCAAATATCTGTCTGGCTCCCATGCTTTGAGACATGTAATTTTGGTGAAATTATTAAATCCTCCTAAAATGAATTTCTACCTCATGAAACATATGATAAGCCTTCTATGTGTATTCCATAAGCATCTGGAGGAATGGAGGAAGGGATAAAAGAAATAGCACATAGAAATTGGAGGCCACATACAAGAGTTTTATTAAAAATGAAAACCTTGAATGTATATTAGTGTGATTGGCATCTCATGAACTTATTGTGTATCAGCCTTGTCTGTTGTCTGTACTGCTGTGCAACAGCAGCCTTTCTGATTTGTGTTTGTGAAGCTACCTAATCGAACATTCAGCTGCAATTGTAATGTAAATAGAAAACATGTTATTATAAAAGTAAAAAAAAAATGGTAGGTATATGCAATGGAACAAAGTCTAGTATCCTATTGCAAAGATATATTTAATAGCTTTAATGGGGGTCCTCCTTTTATTTGGGAGTAGAGATGCATACTGCAATATATCTCAACTTCCTCGTACGTTACCCTGCATTATACAATTGATTTATAAAAATGTATGTATTTACATATTTACCATATATTTACTAAACTTTTATTTGGCATGAAGGTTGCCTTATATCAGAAAGAATATGTTTGTCCTTTTGGGATTGGCTTATTTCACTGGGTATAATGGACTTGAGCTGGGATCATTTGTTTACAAGTGGTAGAATCTCATTCTTTTTAATGGCTGAATAGATTCCATGGAGTAGATACTTGTAGATACTTGCAGATTTTTTTATCCGTCTGTATTTTGATGAGCACCTGGGTTTTTTGCATGTTTTCGGTCTTGCAGATTGTGACCGTATCACAATTTCCATAATCCTTCACATTTTTATCATTTACATATTCTTACAGAATTGTGACCATAGGAGAGTCCTTCAATGATTTAATAAAAATTCCCATAAAAATATATGTCTTCAGCTTTTGCTTTTGCTATATTTTTAACAGGCTATATCTCCCAACTTTTTTGATAGATATCAGTTGCCCAAATCTGCAAGCTTTGTCAAGATTTCTGAGAAATACAGAATCTTAGGTTCTTTCTTTTATAGTAGCTCTTTATTTTTTCATCTGCATATATATATTTACTTTTTATCATTTCATTTACATTAGGTGAATGTGTTTACAGCAGAAATTAGCAACATAATGTTAAATCCTACCCTATACTCCATCCTTCTCAGGTTCCCACATTCCCTCCCCCTTATTTATTTACTTATTTTAAATGTTTTACAGTGACATATATTTTTCTAAAAAAAAAACCGTAAATTTATTTTTTAATTGAAAGTCAGATTTACAGAAAGACTGAAAGGAACAGAGAGAAGGAAATTGTTCATCCACTGGTTCACTCCCCAAGTGGCCACAATGGCCAGAGCTGGGCTGTTTCAAAGCCAGGAGACAGGAACTTCTTCCAGGTTTGGCACATGAGCCTATGGGCTCAAGGACTTGGACCACATTGACAAAAAGCTGGAATGAAAGTGGAACATCTGAGACTCAAAACAGAACCCATATGGGATGCTAGCACTGCAGACGTAAGCTTAATATAATATGCTACAGCCCTGGTCCCAACATGCTTACACTGCACTTCATAATCACTCTGCATTAGGCAAAGGAAAAAAAAAAAACTTGCTTCTTAAGAGTATAAATAGACTTTAAATAACAATCAAACCTCAAAATGCCAATTTCACCCTTATAGATTACATTCTCTGTATTCTCTATAGTACTTACAACAGATCAAAGAAAATATATGAAAGAATATAGACCCCCCATTCACAAATTTGTATGTCATTCTTGGGCAGCAGCCATGCTAATCTCTGTGTCACGCTGGTTTCATTACGTGTGCTACCAACATGAGGACTTCTAGAATCTAACAGCATGTAATATAATTCCAAGAATGCATTTAATATTAAATTGAAACTTCCATGAATGCTTAAAAGTAAGGCAAATTTGTTACAAGCGTTTTAAAAAGCTATAAACTTCATTTCCCAATTAGATTTCTGAGTAAATTTACAGCATGTAATATTAGCCTATTGAACCTTTTATCCTTCAGTTTCCAAGTTTTTCCTAATTAAATAAGCATCTTTCTGCTTCTACCTTGTCCTTCCACTCTTTTCATTGATAATAAGAACCTTTGTGTTGTTTTATTTCTATTTCTAAGTAATTATGAAGCAAAACATGCTATTATATTAACCTATCATTCATGACTTCTCCAGAATTTATTCTTAAGATAAGTGAAGTTGGTTTTTTCCAGTTTTTTTTTAACATAAAATATACCAAATACTACAATATAGCATAAAGGTCAGAAATATATAAAACTTTTTTTATCTTGGGTAATATTGCATTCAACTTGTATACTTTCTATCAGGTAATGTGGACAGCCTTTTTTCTTCTTTATTTTCTATAGACTTTTGCGTAAAAAAAAAAAAAAAGGAGTTTCTGAAACAAAACTGAACAGTGTTTTTTTTTTTTTTTCTTTCTTCCTTATCCTTTTTCTTTATGATTCTTTTCCCTGGCAAATACTCTCATGTCACCTGCTGCCACAATGACATAAAAATGATAAAATGCATTTAAAATGCTTTTTCTCTTTGTGTGGGATATTCTTAATTAACTTTTTACCTTGGATCCTGGAGCTTATCTTTCAAGACATAGCTCAAGATTTAGAACCACAGTGCAACCCTTCAGTCACCTTTGTGTGCAATGAATTCCTGAGAGATGCACCCTGGTATATTCTTGACATTTTCCCCAAAGAAGTTCTTTAAAGGACCCTGACTGTCATCTCCAGCCACTCTCAGCCATAGCATGAGAGAAGTTTGCAGTATACAAGTTCCCCACACACAAGGGAAACTGCAGGGAGTCTTGCTGACTGGCAGGCACTGTTGGGTTAGGAACATGAACACTGATCATGGTTCGGATTCAGATTTAGACCTGAAGTCCCATTTTAGTCCTTTCAGCTGTGGTTTCTGGAACAATTCTACACACCAGGCTCTGCTGCGAGATGTTCAAATTTTTAGTTAATTTAATTTTCTGTTCCAGATAAGGTCAAGATTTACGGCTTAATATGGAAATCCACGTGTTTCACATCGTTTAAGGGATTTTGCTTTCTCTTTTGAATTTCCAGGCAAATTTGTTAAAAATTAATTGGACATGTATGGTTCTGTTTCTTTTTGTTATTTCATTTAGCGAGTCAGATTCACCAAAACATTACAAGAATAATTGAAAAGGCTTTCACCTGCCCTTTAACTCTGGGAACATTTGGGCCCATTTGCATTTTGTCTCTCTCTATATATTTCCTATGTTTGTGTGCATGTGCACACACACATTAACATATACAATACTTTTTCCTGAACTGCTTGGAAATAAATAGAATATATTGTGTTCCCTAATACTTCAGTACTTCATTGTTTACTGTTATGATCTGAAATATTATTATTATTCTTTTGTATAAGGATAATTATTCCTTTATGAAATTGCTACTTTTGTGACAATGTTTACTTTTATATGTTTTAGATGCCTAGCTAAAATGCATATCATTATCAATTATTTATATTAAACATTCTTTTTAAGAAAAAAATTAATTAAAAAATTTATATTTTAAGAAATAAATTTATTTTTAAAAAGGATGTCACTTTTTTTAATTTATTTTTTTATTACATTGCATTATGTGACATAGTTTCATAGGCTCTGGGATTCTCCCAACTTCTCTGATGTCACTATTGAAAAGGAAAAAAAAAGTACAACGCGTCCATATGATTGGGTTACAATAAGAGGATAAATATATTTAAAAAGCTGTTAAATTGAATGCATATGATCTGAAAACAGCTGCATTTCCGTTTTGAGGACAAAGGAAATCAGCAAGTGTTGGCAAAAATTTACAGATAACCAGCACTGATCTAAACCATCATGTGTCTGTGTATATTCAGAGTTATGAAAATAACAAACTTTAGAGAATACTTATGGCACAAACACCCTGACATTAATGCTAAGTTAACAAGTGGATAAGTAACTTATACAAGTCAATGTTGCTTTGAAAAAGAAGAATGTGGATTTGAAAGCTTAGTTAAATGCCCAAATATAGCCTCCCAAGCACTACTATACTATAGTGTCTCTCATAGATTTGGGAAATGACATTCTGCTCCAAATAAGTTACAAATGAACAAACAGAAAACCAAAAAGTAGCAAAATTCACTGGGTTAAAAAAAAATAGTAGTGTAAAAGAAAAAGAATGTAGTGCCACTGTGAATTAAACTCACATCATCAAGTTGACGAACTTACCTTATCAATTCTAAAGGTTGTTCCTTGTAAAAAACGGAAAACCGTGCCCAGTTTCGATGAAGTATGTACCTTTCATTTACAGGATTGGGAGGTTCTGATGGCTTCCAATATTGGCCCTATAAATGTTCAAGAAGACGGTTCACAGAGGGAAGAGAAAACAAACAAACAAGAGTGAAAGAAAGGAATACTGCTTTTTCCAGAAGTTCAGGAAATAGGACAAATGTTCAGTTTGACTTTTAGCTTTAGCGTTAATTTCTGCTCATGTAAAAGAATTTTCTATAATTTTTATATGCTCTTACTTGAATTCCTAAAAAAGCACAAGTTGAAGTTTCAGACTCTAACTTTATTCAAGTTGTTCCTTTCACTTCATATGCCCTTTCCTTTTGACTCAAATCCAACTATGATGTTCACAGCTCAGAGATATCATTGTATAACTGGCTAGGATATTAGAAATCGGTACACACATATTTTAGGTTAATATATATTAAATATACTTTCCGAGAAAGTAAGTTGTTGATCCAAAGTCATACTACTGATTCAGGAGGAGGCCTTTCTACTTCCCTCCACTTGCTGTTACTCATATTCCAAACAAACTTCAAATATCATAACAAACTTTAGCACTAAGAACTTGCTACTGTTTAATGCATGAGTTCTTTCCCCACTCCTAATACACTGAGCAGCTTTAGGATCCTTTCAGAGCCTGACAAGCAAAGTACTACATACAGAGGAATGCTTTAACATATTTGTCCTTCACTGCTCTTGTAGACATGTGAACTGCTGAAGACAATGTTGAATGTAAAAATCTTCATACAGTAAGCCAAAAGACTTAAATTTCCCTCCTTGGAAGCTGAACTTACTAAATAATGAGATATAAATTTTTAAAAATGTGATCTACTTATATCTGTTGTTAAAATGATTTTGTCAAGCAATAAGAAAAAGTCCCATGCATGAACTTGTATCAAGAAGAAAAAAGTGAAATGAGCACTAAACTATAGCTTTATTTATTAACTTTAAATTTCCAGTCACTACACATGCTTTTAATGAAAAGCTATTATTTTGACTCTGGAAAGGTCACAGCAAGAAATGAAATGATAAGAAGGGAATCTCTGTACTTAAATAGACAAAATTTTCAATTTCTTCAAAGACAAAGGAGATGGTCTCTTTTATGAAGAAAGATTGGTAAAGATATGTTGTGAAGTGTAATTAACCTACTTTTGATCTCTCCACTTTCATTAAAAGCAACTACTTAATCATAAGCCCCCCAAAGTTCTTTAACTCAGGTGAAAACTGTGTTCACTGTTTTAGGGGTAAAAATAGAGGATGGAAGAGAATGGTTGATTTCACTGACAATCAAGTTAAATGAAACTAAATTAAACTTCTTTTGAAAATAGTCATTTAGTTTTGAAAATCTTACTCTATTATCATAGAAAACATCAAAAGCAATTAACTAATCAATACTAAGTAGACCTAAAGTCATCTCTGTACTATTAGAAGAGGAAAGCTGAACCAACAGCTTAAGCATTTTAAGACTATGTCTTTGAAGGTTTGTAAAGTATTGCAACAACGTTACATTCCAAAACTACGGACAATGATTTGGCTGCTATTTGTTTCAATGAAAATATTTTCTTTCTTCTCTATTTCTGGGAAGAGCTGTTTGAAGAGAATGAATTATCCAAAAAGCTGTGTGTAGGTAAAAGAAAGAAAAGATCCAAGAAAATTTCTTCAAGTAATTCAGTTACATGACTTCCACAACCAAGATTTGGTGAAATTTAACCACTAATTATCCAAATTGAAATGCTTTCCCCAAATTAGGCAGTCTTGGATGGAAGGCTATGTTTTTAAGTTTGGCTCAAGGAGCATGTCATGAGAAATAATGCTTCTTTGATCTTATAAAGCTTGGCATTTTGTAAAATATCTCATTTTAAAGATTTATTTACTTTTATTAGAAAGTCAGATATGTAGAGAGGAAGCTCTTCTATTAGCTGATTTCCTCCCCAAGTGGCTGCAATGGCCAGAACTGAACTGATCAGAAGCCAGGGGCAAGGAGCTTTCTCCACACTGCCCGTTGTTTTTCAATAGTATACATTTTTTCTAAGAAATCTGTAGTCTGGAGTTCAGATTTATTGTTATGTTCCAACATTAGCAAACAGAATGTTTTACATAATGTTAAAGTTGATTAGGTATTTGGTGAACACATATAATTTATTTCCTTTACAGATTCAGAATTTTACGAGGAAATATCGGATGGGTACAGAGAGAAATTTACAAATAGTATGTGCTAACATGTCCCTTTTATGTAAGTCTAATTTTCCAAATGGTTTCTTAAGACAAATCATGTGCAAATGTAATGTTTTTGAACAAATTTCCATTTGATATAGATCAATGGCAAATGCCATTCTCTGTGTTTCAGTATCTCTGATAAACTGCTCACTTCAGAAGCAAAAAGTCTTTAGAAATTTTCCCACCATGAGAGAAAATTAACAAATTTCAAGTAAAAGGGGAAGCAAAGGGATAATTCTTTTAATAAAGTAACCTACAAATGTGGGAATGGAAAATTAGTTTAATGTTTAAAATCTATACTTACATCATGGAGAGGGTAGGCAGCTAAGTAAGTGTTAGAGCTTAGCAGTCTTTCAATCCCAAACCTTTTCTTTCCATCCTCCATGCCAAAAGGACATCGTGAAAGAATGTAGTATACCTACCAAGTAAATGCAAAGAAACCATATTATATTTCAAAACATCACATTTTCCATTTTCATTCAATCAAAATTGTAACAACACCCACTTTGTAATTTACAGGGTCTGTAGTTTGGGCAAAAATGTAGAGTTTGTGGTAGGCAAGAATTTTCAGATCTTTCAGCATTTGTTTCTGTCAAATCAACGCCTTTTTGGTGACTAAGAGTCACAATTTATTTGCTTCCTTTTCCTCTGGAATTTTTTTTTTTTTTTAGAATTTCCACCGTAGCCAGAGCTTCATGTTTAATATCACTACTAACAGTTCAGTTGGGGGAATGTGAAGTGGAATTGAACTTAGCTTGTTTACTTAGGCTGTCTTAAATAACTTTTCAACTAATAACACTGGTAATTTAGACAGATCCCTTATTTGAATTCTTGAGCGTGATTTACTAACTCAAGGTGGCCATAATGTTATAACCACTTTGTAATAATTTACAACTTTTAATATATTTATTTACTTGAAAGCAGACTTACACAGAGAGAGAGAGAGAGATAGAAGAATGGTCTTCTATCTGCTGACTTACACTCTCAGTGCCTGCAACGGTCAGGGCTGGTGCAGGCTGAAACCAAGACACAGGCACTTTGTCTTTCTCCCCACTCTGGCGGCGGTGGCCCAAGAAATTTGCCCATCTTCCACTGCTTTTCCATGTGCATTAGTAAAGGAACTGGATTAGAAAGTGAGCAACTTGGATTTGATCCGGTGCTCTTTAGAATATGAGCATGACAGGATGTGTCTCCAACATCAGCCATACTTACCAATTTTCTTCTGGGTACCATTTGATCACTGATACCTTTTGCTTTCCTATATTTGTCAGCACAATTTCATCTGTATTTTGTCTTTTAGCAACTTTAATACATGTTTGGTTGCTGAATCTAGCTTTTTAATATTGATTTCCCTCTCATATATCAGCATTTCAGGATTGCTGAGTAAGATGTATGTGTTCTTGAATCATTATTTAATATGATCAGTCATTTTAAGCAAAACTTAATGTTCTACCTTCATAAATCGATCATAACTTCTGCAGTCAAATTTTGATAAATGTTGTAATTCATATAATTATTTTACTTAGAATGATTTCTTTAGAAAAAGTTTAGCAAAATAAGAACTCTGTGTTAATAAAGAGGAAAATTTTAGTCTGATATTAAAATGCATCATAAAGCCATGGTAATAACAACGGATAGTATTGTCAAATAAAAACAGAACTGGCCTCATTGAGGAGAGAAATCATTAAAGAAATCATTAAAAAGAAATTGTAGTACAGGACTCAGGATGACTGGGATAGAATGGGTGTTCTGACAAAGTCTGCAAACTTTTTAAAGATCACACAGACAAGGATTTTTGTTTTGCTTTTTAAGGAAAGAGTTATTTGTTTCAAAGCACAGGGGCAGAGAAAAGTAAAACAGAGATCTCCCATCTGCTGGTTTACTCCCCAAACAGGCATAAAAGTTAACATTGAGCCAGATCAAATCTTGGAGCTAGGACACTATTTTAATCTCCCACAAGGGTGACAGAAAGCCAAGTACTTGGACCATCATTTGCTACCTTCCCAGGTGTATTAATACGAAACAGGGCCAGAAAAGGAGCAGCTGAGGCTTGAACTGCTATTTAGATGTGAGAAGTCAGGTATCCAAAGTAGCAGCTTACCTCACTATGCCACAGTGCCAGCTTATTGGCTCCTTATTTATGGAAAGGAGAGAACAAGGTTCAGGGAGTATGTATGTATGTAGCTGTGTATGTGTGTGTAGTGTCACATCTTTTGTTGGGAAAAGTAAGCATGGTTAAGGAGCAACTATTCTAAATGACATTACTGGCTCTGGCTGAGATTGCATCAAAGATCCTGTTAATGTTGGGAGGACAAGAAGACAAGTTAACAAATGTGTGATTCTGGTGGACCCATGTAGACCAACAGTTCATCTAATAACTTTGTATGAAGACTGGAAATTTGGAAGGAGTGTGTCCGGCTTTTGTAACAGTAAACTAATTACAAAATAGATGGACTGTAAGGATAAGTGCAGGAATCCTTTTCTTAAAGGATTTACATTAGAAAAGCTGTAATTATATATCCTATTTTTGTCCTATTGAGATGCATACCAATGTGCATGTATATACATACACATGTATACAGATATAAAATCCTATTTAAAAATTGTATAGGATTCTTGGCAGTTTTAAGCACCAGGAAAGCTTGTCTAAATTTCTCTTGGAGTCACCTCTTCTGTAGGCAAACATGAAGAAAGCATTCCAAATCTCAGGGCATGTGAGAACTTTGCCTGGATACCTGGCCAAAACTACCACTTGATATAGAGATATGACAGGGTTTTCGCTTTTGTTTTGTTTTTGAAAACATATTTGATATTTGATCAAAAATATTTGATCAACAAAATAACTGATCAACAATAATTGAGCAACAAAAATGAGCACTACAATCACTGAGTGCATTTGGGATGAACTGTGAGGCTAATGGAGCATCAAGTCATCAGGGTAGGTGCAATCTAAGGCATTGGGGGAAAATGGCTCTTTGCAAAATGCTGTTTCTGAGAAGCAGAAGCATATAGCATCCCTCTGTCCCAATGCTCTGGGCTACAGAACTCAAGTAATGGTCAGTATTGTCAGTGCTGACACAAAATTTGACAAAGAAATCAAATCAGCAGAGTATAGTCCAGAAGTAGAGCTATGCATATGTACATACTTGGGTTGCGATAGTGGTGGCATGAATATGAATGTTTGAATGTTTTCAATTTTAATTGGTTTCTGCTGACCATCTACATATACGGAAAAACAATTGACTTCTATTTTGTACCTTGCACAAAAATTAATTCAACATAGATAGTAGTTCTCCATGTGCAAAGCAAAATAGTGTAACTTTTGCAAAATAATACAAGAAATTAAGTGTAGGGCTTTGGTGATATGTAAAGCAGAATATTATAATCAAATCACAGGTTTGAGAGGGTGAATTCCATAAAGATTAGAAACATGCTTATCAAAATCTGTGCCAAAGGAAATGATTAAAAGATATAAAGAAGGTAAAAAGTAAGAAACAGTGAGTAAAGTATATAATAGATAAATAACTCCTATAAAGAATATGACACATTGCCTGAGTCCCTGTGTCTGCCTGCGCAGTGAGCGCTGGGTCTCTGAGCCCTGGGGGCGGGGGTCACCCCGGGGGTTTTAGCCAGTGGGGCTGGTTCACCTGGCCTGAGTCTCTGGGCCCACCTGTGAGAATTGGTCCTCCTTAGTGGAACAGATGGAATAGTAGATGGCAGACCCTGACACACATGGGGAATATGGCATCTCATTAGGAACAGCAGAGAACATCTGGTACCACAGCAAAGGAAGGGCAGAAAAAAAAAAATGGGCGAACGCTGTCAAAGGATGACAGCAAATGTCTGGACAAATGGAGACTCTCAAGTTGACTATGTCAGACAATGGACATTGGAAGGGGTCCCCCATGCTAGGATCGGTGAGATTGACAGCATTTCAGAATTATTGAAACCACCTGGGCAGAACCCTTGGCGCATGTGTCACATTGTGGACCCTGAATTGATAACAGGTGGCTGCTCCCCATCTCCCAGTGCTGGGCTTGCGGGGAGGCTAGGTATGGCTTCTCTTCTTGTCTTTCCCCTTTCCCCAGATACAAGAACAAGAGATGGAGAGTTTGGAATGCTTTTGCCTGGCCCTTGGTCCTGCCAATCCTGATCAACTGTGTAGACATCATAAAAAAATTAAAAATAAATTAAAACAAGGGAATATGACAGCAAGTAAAGGAAAGATTTAAAGTGACACCAGAAAAGTCTTAGCAGGTATTTTGCAAAATTGCATATCCATATGACCAATAAGCATATGTACATGGAGATCAATATGATTAATGAGGAAAATGCAAAGTAAAGCATAGCAAATATATGAAAAGAAATTTTCAAAGTAATGACCAAAAGTCATATGATAGCCAAATCCTCATGTTCATAAATTTTGATCATACTTCAGTGTGTAAGATTCAATTACTACAAACTTCAGATCAATTGGATCTTTGCTGTTTAGGATAGTCCATTTATGCTGAGGAAGGGATTAGCAAGTCACAGAGGGCACCAGGGCTGATGGGCAGCTAGGAATGCTTTCGCTTTTGATCTGGAATGAAGATGCATAGTTGACCACTAAAACTATGATCTGTGGATCTAGCTATAATTAACTACAATAATTGTTACTATTGGGAAAGACGTGGAACATCAACTTTTTTTTAAAGATGTTGTTAATTAGCACAGTTTTTGCAAATGATAACTGTGTTATACATATGTTATATGTTTTCTATATTATATATACATACAATATACATAACACATATATAGAGAGAGAGTGTGTATATGCCCTTAGAATCAGAAATTCTACACATAATCTCTATTTTTAAGTGTCATTTTATTTATTTTAAAGATAAAGTTATGAAGAGAGTGAAAGAGATGGGATGATGGGGTTGGATAGGGAGAGAGACAGAGACAGAGAAAGAGAAAGAAAGAGAGAGAAAAACAATCTTGCATATGCTGGTTCACTCTGCAAATGGCAGTCATAGCCAGGGCCATGACTAACCGAACCCAAGAGTCAAGAATTTCTTGCAAGACTCCCACATAGGTGCTGGGTCCCAAGCACTAAATTATTTTAAAATTTGAAAGGTGCTTCATATCAGCTGTTTCATTTGAGTTTAATAAAAATGTTAGCATACCATCTTCTCTATTTTGATAAGTTATCAAAACTTATCAAAAGTCATAATTATGACTTGAAACAAGTTCTCTGGTTCCTTGTTATGTGCTCTTTCCCTAAAGTTGCCCTGTAGGATTTTTGTTTTTGCTTTTCAATCTTAAAAACAAATGGGTCAATATTTTTCATTTCACATTCTGGGAATTAAATTTTTCAATACTACTCTAAGTGAATTTTTGAAATATTTATAGAAGATATAGTGAATATTATTAAGCCTTATTACCAGAAAGGGGGATGCCTTCCATGACTTTTAGAACTCTGGTGGCTACATTAATATACAATGGATAGAACATTTATAAGCAATACAGAATCTAAAATTCTCCTCTAAAGTCAGAGCAATCATACTGATAGTATCTAACACTTACTGAACACGTGGTATATGCTAAACACATTTTAATACCTTTAATAACCTACTTAATGCTCAGGATAATCATGAAGGAGATTTTATCCCTAAACATAAAGAAACCATGGTTCTTCAGAGGGTAGGTTTTGTAATGATGGGGAGTAGGTTTTGTAATGGGAATCTTGAACATTCTAGAACTACAATTGGAGAGGAAATAATTATTCTAAGCTGAAAATGCTTCTAAATGAAAAAGAAGAGTCCTGAGGTTCCACACATTCTATACATGTATAAAAAAATTAAGACATTCCCATTTTATTTGGAATAATTGATGCTGCTCCTACTATGCTCTGAAATCTTTAAGCTAAATCTTGAAACTCTGTGATTATAGAATCATTGACTTAAATAAAAAGTCTCCTGCTTCCCAATTAAATGCTTTCCAATTATTACATTAACCTTTTTACCTTACTGTTACCCAACCCATACTGTCAATCACTCATTTTTAAATAACAATTTGTAGGGTACAGATGATAATATGTTTTGGAGTCCAAACATATGCTCTAAGTCAACCAGTACCACTAACAGCTCATATTCTAAACAGGAACACCTTGCAGACAATGTATCATGCACACACATGTATAATAGGACACACAAAATATTTGAAAAAATGTGCCCAAATGTTTCTCTACCTACAATTCTGTTTCTTGATGAGGATGGAAAAAATGTTGATGTATCTTCAATGAGGAAGAGCTCTTGTCGATGTCTGCTGAATTGGGCAGTGAAATATTCAGGACGAGGGTACTTCACCCTTTTTGGAAGCTTCAAAGCTCCAAACATATAGCTCAATGCATTGTGTTCATTTCGGGGAATATCACTCTCCTTCACAGGCATTTTGATTCCCAATACTTCAGCGTAGGTGACTAACACTTCCCAAGGAGCATGGATCTTGACAAAGTAAGTTCTTCCATCTTCAGAGTCCTGTATTATAAAAAGAGCCAAAAGAATGGAAATCTCACTTATCTTTTTTTTTTTAATTGAGCTGGTTATGGAAAAGAAAAAAAATGAAATCTCAAATATTTCAGAAAGTATTTTGATGCACTGAATTTTTAAGCAAAACTTTTGGAAAACTATACTAAAATTACATGTAAGCTACATAAACAATCTAAGACATGTTCATCTTTCTTACCACAGTTTTTGTAAATATAGCCTACACTAAAAGCATGGCTTTTGGTTGCTAAAAAGTTCATTACATAGAACACTAATTCAATTATTTTTTATATACTATAAAACATATATATTGGTTCAATAACAATGGAAGAGATAAGAATGGGAAATTACCTATATCAGAGAACTTAGCAAGCTTCACAGATAAGGTGGGAACTTGTATTTTTTTTTTTAAAGTGAAATCTCGAAGAACCATAAAAATAAAAGGATGAAAAATAAAAAAATTCATGCACAGAAAAAGTGATATTATTTAAATACTAGGTTATAAAGGAGAATAGCCGATTTCAGATCTCAATTTATAAGCAGCCTTCTAACTTCAAAAATCATGTCTTCATTTTCAAACTATTTATGTCCATTTTTAAGATGTTCCACTCACAATCTCATATTCAGAACTCTGATCTACTTACCTACTAATCCATAGGCTTTACTGTACTTCATGAACATATCTGTAACCAAAAGGACTATTGTAATGTCCAGAGATGCCAAGTTTATTACACAAAGTCTCCAGGCTAAGAGAAAACATACGTTAAACACTAAGATCCTGTCTTGTGGGCATTTGGCATAGCAACTAAGAAGCCTCTTGTATACACACAGATGACATCGGAGTATTGGGTTCAAGTGCTTGAGTCCTTGGCATTTACGTGCAAGATCTGGATCTCTTCCTCTTTACCTCCCACTTTCTCAAATACTAATTAGATTCTATTTGAAAAAAAAAAAAAACAAGACTCTGCAGGTTATACCCATGTTGTAGGTCTGGGATTGAGCAGGGCAAGGTCCTCATGGGGTCCTGGGCAGGCTGCATCCATGGCATGACAGCATGTGGGTGTGGGGGTGGTATAATCACGTAGCTGATGCTGTGGCCCCAGACACACCACACCTGTTGTATACTCAGCCTGTCTGGCCAGTGACTTGAGGTGGGAGTCCTGGGAGAGGGGTGAGAACTGACGGCCTTTGGCAGACGAAGTGCCTTATGGTTCTATATGGTCGCACATGCAGTGTACAACTGGACTAGACCATAGATCTAATACCAGGTCCTTTGGGGACATGGGGCAGAGGGGTGGGAGGGAGGGTACTGATGGCCCAGATGTTGCAGAATCTCCTGGTGTATGGTGTCCTGGTATTGGAACACACAGTGCATGTTGTGCTGCTTCCTATGTTGATTCCTATAGAGGGAAGAGGGTCAAGTCCAGGAGTACACAAATGATGGTTAAGTCTACTATTATTAACAAACTGAGACCTCCTTGGATTCTACTTCAAAGACAAAAAGGTCAGCAACTTCTTGGAGTGGTGATTACAATGTGCTGGACATAGCCACTGACTAAACATTCTATGACTTGTGAGATGGATCCATTTGATGAGGTATGGAAAGATTTACAAATTTGGGACAAGTAAGGTATAGCAGATAGCAATTATAGAAGATGGGTTGAGTCCACATCATTCAGCAACCTATAGAAATAGAGGTCAGAAATCTCAGGACGGAATGAAACAGTACAGGCAGGTTAGCAAGCTTTGAGCCAAAAATTGAAAGTCATACCTCCCCATCCTGTATAATATAGACTGCCTACTTGTCAATCAAATGACACCTTCCCCAGGATGTGCTCCTCCTGGGACCTGTAGGAGCCATGTACCTGTTCTCTGTCCAGGCTCATGGGAAACCAGGCCACAGGGAGGAGCTGTCTCTTTCCCCAGGTGAATCAGACAAGAAAGTAGAAGTGACTCTCCAACCTTCCCCTTTTCTACCTACTCTACCCCTAAATGTGCATGGGTGTCAGTGTGTGTGTGTGTGTGTGTGTGTGTGTCCCTAACCATTTAAATACATTCAACAATTAAAAAAAAATTAATGCATGAAAAAAAAAGGCTTTGGTATAAACAATAGTACTTACCCTTTTGTCTTCAATTTCCAATTCAAGGCCAGATTTTCTGAGATTGCGTTCAAATTCTTTTCTTCTTTCCTATAGCAAAACATACAGAATTGTGTAAAGCACTTTTGTTCGACCTGTTCAGTTATATTCAGTACATGGTGGCTGAATTATTCTGTGAGGCTGTCCTCCCTACATTATTTGAAAATGGCCTCTTATCTCAATTTTAACACCATGCACTGCTTTCCATCCATAGAACAAATTCCAGTAACTATAAAAAATCCAATATATCTTATAATCTCTGAAAAACATATAGCAGAACATTTATTGGAAGAAATCTTGAAAAAAGTTTTCTGAATAGCATATACTTTTTTAAATAAAAGCTTTATCAACAGATATGTCACGCTGTTAATGGGAAAATTCAGTGTTTACAAAGATCAATATACTTGAAATATATATTCAATGCAGCATTAAGTCAAAATATTAGCATGATATTTTAGCATTAAAGGTAGAATGGCATAACATGGGGAAAAGTGAAATTACAGTACAATATTAATGCACATAACCCACACTTATGAGGTTTAAAAACAATGCACTGGACCCTGGCGCAATAGCGCAGTGCTTAAAGTCCTCGCCTTGCACACGCTGGGATCCCATATGGGTGCTGGTTCTAATCCCGGCAGCCCTGCTTCCCATCCAGCTCCCTGCCTGTGGCCCCGGAAGGCAGCCGAGGACGGCCCACGACCTTGGGACCCTGCACCTGTGTGGGAGATCTGGAAGAGCTTGTGGCTCCAGGCTTTGGATTGGCACAGCACCACCCATTACAGTCACTTGGGGAATGAATCATCGGACAGAAGATCTTCCTCTCTGTCTCTCCTCCTCTCTGTATATCTGTCTTTCCAATAAAACATAAAAAAAAATGCAGATGGTCAAACAATACTTCTACTTAGGCTGTGACTAAAGTGAAACAAAAGTATGATTACTAGAAAATTGAAAGCCTTAATTATAATATTTTCAAACAATAGTCTTCAAGGAGGCATATCTGAAAGATGTATTTTTTTTATAAAGTCAGAAGAAAGATTCTGAATATTCTCACCAAAGTGAGGGTAAACATTTGAAGAGACAGCTTTACTGTGTAGTGAATGTTGTACAATGTACGCCTCTGCTGGGGCTGTATGCAGCAACTCACAAACATGTCATTTCAGAGACAAAATTGTAAAGAGTGTAAGATAATCATATCATCAAACAAGTCAAAATTAAGAAAAGTTTAAGGACTAGACCCTAGAGCACCACAATAATAAAGAATCTGGGAGAAGAAAAGTTGGTAAGTAAATAGTGAAAGGAGAAAAGGTGGAACCCTACAAGCCAAGAGAGAAATATATAAATCAGAAAAAGAAGGAGTCAACTACGTCAGGTTTTGGAATAATTAGGATGAGAGTTGAGACTTGAACACAGGGTTTACACATGCAAGTTAACATATTGGTTAAAGTAAGGGCCTAACAGGGAGAAATTTAAGAAAGAATTGGTAACAAATGAATTTCAGAGAAGAAATGTGTACAGAAAACTGGTAGGGATAATCTTATCAAGAGAACACATTTATTCTTGCATTATTTTAATGTAAAAAACTACCAGCATACCTATTTGATGAAGGAAAGAATAAACACAATTTAGGAGAAAGAGGAACCAATTATAGATTGATGTCTCTAATCAGATACAGAGAAAAGATATATCAGGTAGGAAACTGTTTTTCTGACATGTTCTTGTCATTCGCAGATCTAATACAAGTGACTTAATTCTTTATATAAATGTTGTGTGATCTGTGTCACCTAAACGATACACTTGCTTTTATTTTGCGTGCATGAACTCTGGGTATGTAGTAGGCAAAAAGTGATATTAAAAAAAAAATAAAGCATTGAGTCTCTGATGAGCTGGCCAGTATAAAACATCTTGCATGTGTTTTTATACATTATTGATGGAACAATGAGCATATTCTGTGTGATTTGACAGAGACAAGCCTCCTTGCAATTTGCTCATGGTATTTTCTGGAACCTCTGCTGTGTTTCATGTGCCATTTCACAGTTATAAAGACCCATGGGCCCGACAATATGCCAAGTCCTATGAACTTTTCTAACAAAGAAAGTCTTGGGGATTCCTAAACGATTGAGAAAGACAAAACGGTAGATGAAAGGATTTTTTAAAAATTGATTGATTGAAAAGGGGAATTAAACTATATGCTTATTTTAGCTTAATTTTTTCAAAAGCATAATTTTAATAGCACAAATTTTTCACAAACGTTTTGTCTCATATGCTTGTATTTCAAAACCTTTTGCACAAAAACTTTATGCAGGTTTTTTTTAATGTTATTTTTTGTTGTTGCTGTTGTTTAAGAGGTAGACAGAGTGACTGAACTGGTTAAGTCTCCCAGTGCCTGCAGTGGTCAGGAATGGATGAGGTCAACCCAGGTAATTAGGAACTCAATCCAGATTTCCAATATTATGTGCTAGAAACTCAGCCACTGCACTGTGGGATACAGACATTCTAAACTGCTTCTTAAGAACTGGGCCTAATGTCCATCCTATAAACACATTTTAATTGCATTTACCTCTAATATCCCCATTGGTCTACACCCTGAAGGTGCCTGATCTTTTTTGAAGTACCCTCATTGGACTCACAGCATCTATGGAACAGCTGACCTGAAAAGGATATAATTCATATATGATAACAACAATGAAAAATTCTACATGTAATAAATGGAAATGTATAGTGGTGGAAATGTATAGAATGCTTCTTCTTTTGCTTCCGTGTTTTCAGTTAAATAGAAAAGTGTAGGCACCTAACTTTGAAGATGGAGAGGAGATACCAGAGGAATGAGAAGTAATAATAAGTTGTAAAATAGCTATCCAAAAAAACCCTGAAACTGTATGGAAGGGAAGTGTGAATGTCAGATATTACTAAGGACCCAGCTGAGGTACCCGGGCACAAATATAAGTTAAAAATCAATGATTATATGTTTTTCTCTCTGTAAGGTTACTGAAATGTAGTAGGTTAATAGATGGGTTCAAAGTAGTTCTGTTTACCAGTAATTCTATTGAGAGAGGAGCAAGGAATATGATGGCATTTGTAACAGAGTGATTACAACTGCTGATCAAGACACATAAGCTGGTTTAACATAGGAAAACGGAGAATGAGTAGCAACGATGCAGTAAGATAGTTGTAGCCTTCCTGGTCCTAGTAGGATTAAAAGTAGGGTACAGATCAAAAAGACAGGAGGAGTTGGTTTGACAAGTTTTGAGACGTGGATGAAGATTACAAAGAATTGTATTTTAGCAGTAACTGTGACATGCGGCATGCGAGTAAATGATGCAAATTGCAGGTTTTAAAAACAGAAAAACTAGAGCAACAAAATAATCATGCATGCATGCACTCATATTATCAAAGAGAGTAAGTCGAGTAATGATGGAAAGATTGACTATGGACCAAGGGGCAAAGTTGTCGAAAAAAAAAAAAAGGAATGCACAGAATACTAATAAAACTCGTTAGATTTACAGTTCAGAAATTTTAGGGACAAAAAGAGAACTGAATAAAACTGAAAGGTTAAAATTGGTTAAGCAGCTTTTACTCCTTCTCCATGAAATCATTGTGTGAAGAGAAGCAATCATCATTCAAGAGGACTGTTAGGGAAACAACCTTCAGTAAAACTCAATGCTTGAGGAGTTCTTTCAAAGAACAAACAAATGATAGCGTTGCAAAAACTTCAGGGGCTGGGTGCAGGGTTTCTACGGGAAGCATTTAAGAAAGGCACACACTGGGTATGTATAGGGTCCTGTGGCAATAATACCCGCATTTAAAATGTATTCATATTTTGTATAGTATTTACTTTGTAAGTACATGTTTAAATATGTTTGTGCATATGTGCTCACATGTGCAATCAAATTACTTTTTATGTCACATATTACTACTCTAGAATTTAGGTATGCAATTAGCAAGAGACAAAGTTCCTTGACCTCATGAACAAAATTTATGGAATCAGAGATTAAACGATTAAAGAGAAGTGAACAAATAATATCTTAGAAGTGCTGATTGCTACAATGAAAATAAAATAAAATAAATAAAATAGGAAATAAAATAAAAGTGCTACAATGAATAAAAGAAAGTAGGAGAAATAGACTGGGTAAATTCATCATGCATCTTCAAAATGGTTACTACATGTAAAAGACTAATACACAGAAACTTTAGAAGCCATACTTGATATCTAATTTGAACTAATATACATCAGCCTCTTGGGAGAAGTAAAGCAGATGATCTTTAAAATATCCTGTAAATAAAATAGGCATCACCACTCCTCAGTTGCCAATCCACTCAGTTCATTAACACTTTGGAAGTCTGACTTCTCACAACATGATTCAAGGAAAATATATATATCAAATGACAAAATGTGCTTCTTTTTCATTATTCCTGTTTTTCTCACTTAAGCACTTACCGCTTTTAATTCTGAATCTTTCCTTGCATCATCTACATAGGAAAGTACAAAATCAATTTGCCTAATTCCATCTCGGAAGAAGATAGAATCTTTGCTTTGCTCATGTTTTTGAAACTGCAGGAGATATAAATGATATGATTATAAGTTTTATTTATACTCAAGTGTCAAGATATATAGAGTTACCTTTTTTCTCTTGAAGATTTTTTCATTTATTTGGAAAGGAGAGTGACAAGGAGAGGGTCAGAAACAAAGATCTCCCAATCACTGCCATATGATTCCAACAGCCCAGACTGCGTCAGACCAAAGCTAAGAGCCTGGACCTCCACCTAAATTCCTTGGCTAGGTGGAACAGGCCCAAAGTATTTGGGATGTGCTTCCACTATGAAGTCAAATCCCACAAAGGGCTTTCAATAACAACACTTCAGCAGGAAAGTCAGCCAACTGACCATGCACCCATTCAACAAAAATGTTGCAGCTATACCAAGTTAGAGAATAAATACATGTATATACTGATCCCAAAATGGATATTCAGAGAAACTTGCTATATTCATTAAACATATTAATTGACACATTTACTTATTCATAGTTACACACTTTCACAGTTATAATTAATTACAGAGCAGTTGGTAGAACCTCTCAGAAAATAGGCTCACAATTAATGCTGATAGCATACAAGTCTTTAATATATCAATTCTATTTTTGAGGTGTTAAAATAAAATCAATATGAAGCTAAAGATTAGAAAACTGGCAGCCTGCTATTTAGTCTCACTAAAAGCAAGCAAATAAGCACCCATGCAAATTTCCATTTAAAATAATGCCTTGTGTGTGAATCAAAATCAATTCTTTTTTAGATTGAAAAGTTCTCTTGTGTTAACAACTAAACTTACAACTTTAAACTTTATATGCTGCACTGCCTGTTAATTGTTTACCTTTCAAAACAGCAAAAACACTAGACATCTTTTGAAAGAATTGCATCTGTGATGCGTTTGCTTTTTCTCAGTTAATATATGATATGTAATAGTTAATTCTATCAATACTCTACCTGTGGCACTTAGAATTACGGAAACAGATGATTTACTGGATATCAGTGAGGAACTTTTCCAATTACTTTAGCTAATTTGCGAATAGGGAACTAGATGACTATAATTTTCACTACTAGTATTGCTATTCGCCTATGAATTTCCTTTTACAGTATTCGATGCCACTCTCCAACCAAGTCAGGCCACACAAATCTTCCATAAAGACACTAGATGCTAGTCGATTATGTATGAATAAGACAAAAAGCTCATGTTCATTTTGTTGTTTATGACCATAGTAGCCGTATTCTATATCTGTCTACATAGTTTTTATGTCTGAAAGCACCAGTTCTCACTACACAGAAGGGAATGGGAATGGAATGAAGAGACAAAGCATGAGTGCAGAGAAGAAGTGTCAAAACACAATGTAAACATTATGTGTGCTTTTTGCACTCTAGCCAAAGAATGCACAATGATCTCCATTTTCTTAGAAGACTCTAGAAGAAAAAAGTCAAAATCCAAACTACTTTCATGTAATGGCTTAACTGAAAATCACTTTGGGGGGAAAAAAAAAGCACATAAACTCAAAATCATTCTTTCAGATATTATCATACTGTGTTATTCAACTCAGCAAAAATTTTGGAAACCAACTGGGGCAAAGCAAATTTCTAATAGGACTAAACATAATCAAAGCACAGAACTAAAAGGAAAAAATAATTGTTGTCTTGCTCAAAGTTATCCAGAAGTTATGTTTTAAAACAACTACTGATCACATCTGTGACATTTTAAAACCATGCCAAGAAAATAACTGAATTTGTAGATCATTATGATTGCTTGTCTTAGGACAATTAGCAAAAACTAGCTAACTGGGCAAAAAGATGTAGTAATTCTGCTACATAGGTCATTAAAATACCGCATGTTCTTTTGTCTCCACACATGACATTCGTATCTTTACTTCATGTTTTCTACCACATATATTTGTGTTAATATTTTCACATAAATAGGCTTATACCTATTTATAATGAGCTAAACATCAGAGGGGCATCTCTGAGTGATGCTGTTATTTTTATGTACATAAATCTAATGGTTTGGTAAACCTCTGAATTTTTGTAAATTATGTGCATGTACATTTTTAAGAAAGAGAATAGATTTCATCATATATAAAACAGTAAAAATTTTTATTCCAAAACCTTAATTTCCTGGGGACTAGGATTACTGACCATCACATTCCCAAACCCCAAATCATTAGTATTGGTTGTGAGAAAAGTGACACAAGCTATTGCTGTAGCAATCCAGAGCAAAAGCAACATCACTCAGCACTGGCTTTTACCATAAGACGCCTCCGCAGGAACAAATTATATCGTGTTGCTGGCTGTGAAGTAACCAAGAAAGAGTTAGCATTTCCTGCCCAGAATTAACACTTCCAAGAAACATACACACAAATAAACTGCAGTGTGATCATTCCATGATGCTTAACTGTGCTTTGATATTCAAAGCTAGACAGTATACATTTGGCTAGGGGGAAATAGGAAAAACACAAAACAAAAAGAGAAAAAAGTAAAAAAGCTAGAAGTCAGTCCTAAAACAGTAATTTCTATACAATCGCATTAAAAAAAAAGAACGGTAATTTCCTATGGTAGAATAGAAGTAAAACAGCCAAAAAGAACATTTTAGGGTATTTGAAATCTTCAACATCTTAATTTTGCTGCAAATTTTCAAGACCCATCTAAGTATACATGTAAAATGGTTCCATTCATTGTGTTTTGCCTATGAGCAATAAAGATGAAGTATGGATTATACGTATCAGAGATGTGAACAGCTAAGCTATAACAAAGCAAAAAAAAATTTGTAGAAGATCAAGAATAATCCTTTAGACACATCATATTCCATATTCTGGAACCCACTTAGGTATTTTAAGTATGAAGTTCAGGAAACACAATCTCACGGGAAAAGTTTGAGAGTTAAGAACATTTCAAGCAACTTTAAAGCCAATTTAAAACCATGAAACTCAATGAGATTATTCAGAGATAACTAAAGATATCGAAGTCATGAAGTAACATTGAACTAATTACATACGCTATGAAGTGCTATGCTTATATTCACACAGTGTCAGCTCCTTTCCTATTTCCAATTACCTGCTATTGTGGAACCTGGGTAGCAGTAGCTCAAGCAGTTGTGTCCCTGTCAACAACCAGGACCAATACCTAAACGGAATTTCCAATTTCTGGTTTCTGGTTTCATTCTGATTCAACTCCAGACACTGTAAGCAATTTGGGGAAATAACCACAGGGTACAGAACTTACCTTCTTCTTCCTCTCTTTAAATAAATGCAAGTCCATTAGTAATATCCCTATTATATGACATACCACTAGTGTGCCTTTTCAATTCTCAGTTTTCATTCATTACACTCTAAGTGTTAATATATTATAAAATTAATCCTTCAGAGCTCATGGTACTCACTTTGAGATACTTTTTCTTTTCTTTTTTTTTTTTTTACTCTGAGACACTCTTAAGTATTATTTGTTTGACATTTCCTTTCTTCATTTAATGGTCTCAGTGCCTCTTCTACACTGGAAACTAAATACTCAATGAAATCCTTTGTTGATATTTCATTTCCAATAAAATGTTAAATTATATAAATTGTTTTATATGAATACAGTCATAAATACTGAGTTCTATCATAATAACAATGATATGAACCATAATTCTCTACTTTTTTTTCCAAAAAAACAAAGTACACTCAATGGAACTTGACAGAACATACTTCATTTGGCACAGTAGATCTATGATATCAAAAATTTTTCTCGAGAATAGTTGATTCTATCAATAAGACAAGAAACAAAAAAGCAATTTAGATTAATTTTATCAAAATCTAATATCAGAATGGAAGGACATGTTAAAAGGAAAACAATAGCAAGAATTTGGATATGCCAAAAGGAAAATAGAAGTCAATCAAAAAGTTCCAAATACTCATAGTAGGGTTATTTGCAATGTTGCCGAAAAAATATTTTTATAAGAAAAAATAGAGGAAAAAGAAGAAACTTTTATCTGCAAAAGCTTTTCTTTGTAATTTCAGCTTATGTATTTACCTTCAAGTGGTTAAAGGATGAAGACACAATTTTGAACAAACAACAACACTACTATATTCATTGCAATAGTGTAGGGAAGGGAGGAGATTATTTAATTTTTTAATAAATGTAGAGGGTTCCTATGAAAGTTATAAGAAGATGAATATTATCCATGATTCTAAATGGAGATGAAAACCACTGGGAAGAACTGTGGCAGACTGCAAGTCTCTAATTACGTATGTGCTCCAAATCCCATTTCATACATATCTGATGCTACATAAAGTGGACCCTCCAAGGATTTGGAAAGGAATCTAGCAATGTATTCTCACAGAAAAATCTTCCGGTGAAATTCTTAAGATAAAATAGTTACCTATTACTTTCCTTAAAATATGGCAAGAAAGTTGCATACAATTTAAATTTCTCCAAACCTTGTTCAGATGACAGTTTCCAAGAATGGAATAAATAAAAATAAAGGTAAAAAATAATAAAGGTAAATAAAAGAAGTGGATAAAATTTCAGTTTAGTTTGGTCAATCCTCATCACAGCAGCGTAGACTGGTTACTAAAAAGCAAATCATCACCTATGCCAAAATGGTTGTTACAGAAAGATTTGTACAATGAAACTCTATGCCAGCATCTTCCCAAACACCATTTCACACACTTGACAACTAAGAAAAAAATCGAGACCCTTATTAACTTAATGATTGGCAGTTAAATTTTATTTTTAGGAAATCACAATTCCTCACTGTTATTCTTAGACATGTTCTTTCAAAGAATACTGTTAAAGAGGAAGGATATCGAACCGGGCTTCAGAAACTCAAGTTCTAGTCCAGCAAAAACAGTGATAATTTTGATCAAGTGATTCAACCTTTAAAACTCAGCATTTTCTCCATTGCAAAATTGAAAATTATTAAAGTGCAAGTAAAATGCTATGCCTAATACACAATTCGGATTAATACATTTGATGTCATTTCCCCCCTAAGTAAACTGACACCATCTTACAATGTAAGTTTCCAAACACCACATCTGGGAGCCTGAAAAACAAGTGAACTGGGAAACACCAGTATAGACTACAAACACATGTTCCATCTATTTCTACCCAAGAAAAAATCATATTGATGGTTGCTTACCACTGACTTTTCTCTGATGAGTAAAATGGTTTCTCTGCTGCTCATGCTCTGTTAATAGTAGCAAGGGGAGACACAGAGCTGGTAAGTAGAGGAGGGGCAGCAGGAGCATGTTTCAATAGTAACAACAATTAAACAAAAAAATGAACAGCTTAAATTTCTCTGTAGATTTTTCTATGAAGAAATACTAATACTAGGTCCCAAGGCAGCTATGAAACATCTAAAAAGATATTCAAAAGTCTGTATGCATGTAAACATGTGCACGTGTGTTTGTGTACTTACATGTTTGTCTTTGTGTGAATAAAGAGAGCAAGCTTGAGACAGAAACAGAATTTGTGATATAGGATTGTTAAACAATGAAAATAGAAGTCAGTGATAAGATATTACCCATTAGTACCATAACACAGAGAAATAGCAATGATACTGGGTCTTGAAGAGGACCAAAGGGAAGGGTGGAATTAATGGCTGTTTTTATGTCTTGCAACATAAAACATTTTATTATCTTGGAAAACGCACCATTAGAATTCTTCAGCACTTGTAACTCAAGGGGAAAACAAAGTGCACAATTTGCACGTAAATCCTCATGTGACATTTTGGTCCACACATCACAAGATAGGCTGCTACAGGCACTCCAGTCACTACTGAGTAGTCTGATGATATGATAGAATGCTATAGACAGGCAGCAGCTACCAAAAATCACCTAAAATTCACATCTAGAGTGTGAATTCATTTTAACCTATTCTTGGATAAATACAAACAACATTCCATTTTCCCCAGGTGATGTTAGGAGATACATTTTTGGACTTATTCTTTTTATTTCACATGATAATTTTGTAGGTACTGGATTCTTCCTCCCTTCCTCTTCTGTATCATTCTCCCCTCCCCCCATAATCTCCCATTTTATTCCAGTTTTCTAGTTTTTAGTAACAGTTACAAGTTTAGCATTCTGCTGTTTAGGTGTATCATGACATTTGAGTTACAGGCAATGGTAGAAAATCTAGTATCAAATTGTCAAGATATATTCAACATTTTCTTTGGGAATCCTGCTTTTATTCAGGAATAGAGACACATACTGGAAGTGTCTTGACTTCTGGTATACTATTCTCTATTATGCAGTTCATTTATGAGAATATATCTATATACTTTCTCACCTGTATATATTTGTTTCATATTTTGCATAGAGTTTGCCTTATATCAGAGACAATATATTTGTCCCATTGGGCATGACTTATTTCACTGTGCAGTAGTTTCCAGTTGGGGCCATTTTGTTACAAATGGTAGAATTCCTTAGTTTTTAAAGGTTATGTAGCATTCCATGGAGACGTATCACGGTTTATGTATTCTTCTTCCAACAGGCTTCTGGATTGTCTCTATGGCTTTTCTATTGCTGGGTTGTGCTGTGTTAAATACCGGGATGTAGGCTGCACTTTCGTGTGCAGATTTGACTTCATCTGGAGATATTCCCAGGAGTGGGATAGTTGAGCCATAAGGTAGATCAATTTTCAGTTGTTTGCGTCCTCTCCATACTGACATCCATAGTAGCTGCACTCTCTTACATCCCTTCCAACAATAGGCTACCTTTCTCCTCCCCCACATCCTCACCAACAGGCATTATTAGTAGACTTCTGTATGTTGGCCATTTTCACTGAGTTAGAGGGAACCTCGATGCATTTTTTATTCGAATTCCCTAATAGCTAAGGAACCTGAGCAGTTTTTCTTGTGTTTAAAAGGACAGTTTTCAAAATAACATACTGAAAGCACTATGGATACATTTTAAAACCATGAAAAGATGTGTTGAACATACACTCAATGCTACAAAAGTTACAAAGTGAGTGATAAAGAAGTAGTAATTGATCTTTGTTCTTAGGAAGGATGAAGATGTAATTTTGAACACACTCCGGTTTTTGTGTTGTTGCATTCAATAGAATAATGCAGGCGAGGCTAGAGGGATATTTAAATTTCAAAAACAAAAACGTGGGGTCTCTGCCAGGATGTAGCAGGCTAAGCTTCGGAACTGGTATCCTATATGTGTGCCAGTTTGAGTCTCGGTTGATCCACAGTTGATCCAACTCCCTGTTAATGACCTGGGATGGCAGAAGCCTAGGCCCCAATGCCTTGGGATCCTGCATGAGACATTCAGTTACAACCATTGCAGCTATTTGAGCAATAAGCCAGCAGATGGAAGATCTTCCTCTCTGTATCTTTCTCTCTGTAACTCTGACTTAAAATAAAAATAAATGTCCTTTAAAAATCCTTAAGGAACTATTTGCAGAAATGCAAAAAATAAACCCACCTCCTTCATTTAAAATCTTATTTTTTTATCTGTATGAAATGTATGTATATTTGTATATTTCCACCTAGAAATGAGGTCATCATGCAATATTCTCCTATGCTTGGCTTTTCCAATTGGAATAAAATCCTCAAGGTCTATCAATGTTAAGGCAAATGATCCTGTCTTAAGACTCAATAATGCTGCATCATATATAATATATACATATATATATATATATATACATAATACTTTTTTCATGCATTTGTTGATGGGAATATAGATTGTTTCCATACCTTTGCTCTTCTGAATAACATCACAAGTATAGATTTTTTTGAGCGTAGATATTTTTACAAGTTGATGATTTTATTTTATTTGTATAAGCTCAGAAGAGGAAATCCTGGGTTAAGCTATAGTTCTATTTCTTCCCAATTAGAAACATATGTGCTATTTTCCACAAAGACTACACAAATATGCAGTTATCTCATCTTTTTTTATCATAGCCATGATTATAGGTGAAGTGCTATTGCATAGTGGTTTTAACTTGCATTTTCCAAGGATTAATGTTGTTGAGTACTTTTTCATATAACTGTTGAAATCTTCTATGCCTCTATCAGAAAAATATTTGGGCAATATTTTCCCACTTTTCAGTTCAGTTTTTTTTTTTCTCTGCTTTTGAGTGGTAATAAATGCATAAACTTTAGGTACTCAGCTGTAATTATTTTATTGTTTACAATGATTTTTCCCAATCTTAGCCTACCATTTAATTGTGTTTCCTTTACAATGAAGAAGGTTTAGCTTAATTTTCCCATATATTTTCATTTTGATGGTGCAGATATTTGATATTAAAAAATCTTTACCAAATCCTGTCTAGGAAAACTTCCTCTCTCAAAATTTTTATAGCTCCAAGTCTTGCATTTAGGACCTTTGTCTATTTTGATTTTGAGTTAATTTTTGTATGTGTGTGTGTATACAGTTTAAGGGTCCAATTTCATTCTTTTCTGTGGAAATTCAGTTTTCCCAACACCAATTATTGTTCTCCACATCCTCTTGAGGTCCTTGTCAAAAATAAGTTAAACATGTAGTTTGAATGTATTACTAGGCTCTCCCGATTTCTTTCTCTCTCTTTTTTGCCCAGCCTGTGTTTTGTTGTTTTTTAGGAATTAATTGACTTAAAACGCAGAGTTGCAGAGTGAGAAAGGGAAGCAGAGACAGAGAGGTCTTACATTCATTCTATCACTCTCCAAGTGGCCACAAAGTTGGGACTGCACCAAGCTGTACCCAGGAGTCAGGTGCTTCTTTTGGATCTCCCAGATGAATTCAGGGAGCTCAAGCACTTGTGCTGTCTTCTACTGTTTTTCAAGGCCACTAACAGAGTTGTATCAAAAGTAGAGCAGGTGGACTATGAAATGGTGACCATATTGGATTCTAATATTGCAGCCAGCAGCTTAACCTATGTGTCACAACACAGGCCCCGTTTTAGGCTTTTAATTACTACTCCAATCTCTTTGTTTTTAAACTGTGAAATCTTTCTATATTTATTTCTAATTTAATTTCAAAATCATAGAGTACTTAAATAGTAAAAAGAAATGCAGTAATAGTAGACAAATTTCATATCCCTCATTCAATTAGACAAAAACAAGGAAGTCCTGAATTTGTACTGCTTTTTAGATCATGTGTACCTAACAAGCATATATAGAAACTCTCATTCAAGAGGAGCAGGACACACATTCCTTTCTAATACACCTAGAACATGCTCCATGATAGGCCACATACTAGATAGCAAGACAAAATATGTATTTTTTGAAAGAATTGTTCTATTTATTTTAAAAGCAGAATCACAGAGAAAGAAATTTTGAATTCTCTGGTTCACTCCTCAAATGGTTTCAACAGCAGAGATAGGGCCAGGTCAAAGCCAAAATCCTGGAATCTCATTTGGGTCTCTTCTACAGGAGGCAGAGACCCAAGCAACTGAGGCACTGTCATCTGCCATCCCGATCATATTGGTAGGGAGTTGAAATCCAGCTGTTACACTTATGATCCAGCTCCTTGCTAATGTGCCTGGGAAAGCAGTGGAAGATGGATCAAGTTTTTGGGTCCCTGCACCCATATAGGAGACCTGCAAAAGTTCCTGTCTTCAGATTGGCCCAGCCCTGGACACTGTAGCCATTTGGGGAGTGAACAAGTGATGGAAAATCTCTCTATTTCTTCTTCTCACTGTAAATAAAACTGGTTCTGTGATATGTACAGAATGCTGACATGTCAGGCGGCAGTTTAACAATATTGCTACAACATCTGCCAGCCCACATTAAAAAAAAATGAATGAATGAATTCAAAACATTGTATCTTATATTTTTACCACACCATTATAAAACTAGAAGTCAATAACAAAAAGAATTTTTGACAAACTCACAAATCATTAGAAATTAAACAAGGTGCTCCTGAACAATCAATAGATTAAAAAAAGCAAAAGAGAAATTAAAAACTATCTTCAACAAATGGCAAAATAAAAACAACTTATACAAACTTATGTGGCTCAGTAGGCTAGTCCTACACCTGAAAGTACCAGCATCCCATGTGAGTATTGATTCATATCCTGCTGCTCCACTTCTGCCCCAGCTCTCTGCTTACAACTTGGGAAAGTAGTGGAGGATGGCCAAACTCCTTAGACAGAAGTACTCATGAAGGAAGACAAGAAGAAGCACCTGGCTCTGAGCTTCAGATTAGCTCAGCTCTGGCCCTTGTGGAAATCTGTGGATAGAACCAGTGGATGGAAAGCTTGGTCTATCCATCCTCCTCTCTAAAACTCACCTTTCCAATAAAATAATAAATCTTTAAAAATAATGAGTAAAGCCAAAGCAGTTCCATTTGGAAAGTTTATAACAATGAATGTCTATAATAAAAAGGAAGAATGATTTCATATCAATACCCTAACATATACTTCAAGAAGCAAGAAAACAAAAAATTAACCCAGTTTCATCCAGGTCCCCCAGACCATTAGCAGTGACTTAGATGGCAGTGTGTAAAGGCCAGGACAAAAAGTGGTGCCCAGCTGGGATGACTAGCATTACAGACAATGGCTTTACCACAACACCAGCTCCTAAACCAGTATTCTTTCTTTCTTTCTTTTTTTTTTTTTTGAAGATGTATTTTATTTATTTATTTGAAAGGCAGAGTTACACATAGAGACAAGGAGAGGGCGAGAGACAGAATCTGCCATCTGTTAGATCACTCCCACAAATGGCCACGATGGACAGAGTTGGACCAGACCAAAGGCAAGAGCCAGGAGCTAGCTGACTGGAGACTATATATTCAGAATCTCAGTTCCAAATCTACGAGGGGGCTATAAACCCAGTTTACAAAGCTTCACTTTATAAACTTCCCATAACTTTTTACTTAAGTCTGTAACATTAAATACATATCTATATCCACATCTAGATAGACAGATAGATGATAAATGGAAAGATAGAGGATATGTATACACCATTTCTTCAAAGGATCTTCTGTGCTTTCTAATACTTATCAGGGGCAAATTCCACGGTGACAGCCTCTCATTTCAAATAATGAAGGTCATAATTGAACATTGTTACAATCTCTCATGGAAATCCAGGCACACTTGAAATAAAAATGTGTAATATAATCAATTTAGGGGCCCGGCGGTGTGGCCTAGTGGCTAAAGTCCTAGCCTTGAACTCGCCGGGATCCCAAATGGGCGCCAGTTCTAATCCTGGCAGCTCCACTTCCCATTCAGCTCCCTGCTTGTGGCCTGGGAAAGCAGTCAAGGACACTCCAAGGCCTTGGGACCCTGCACCTACGTGGGAGACCTGGAAGAAGTTCCTGGCTCCTGGCTTTGGAATGGCGCAGCACCGGCTTTGGTGGTCACTTGGGGAGTGAATCATCGGATGGAAGATCTTCCTCTCTGTCTCTCCTTCTCTCTGTATATCTGACTTTCGAATAAATAAATAAAAGTTAAAAAAATCAATTTAGTATATTTACGGTGTGAACACTAAGAAATGAGCAAAAAATAATTTTAAAGCTAATACATATGGAAAATCCTCCATATATTGTTTAATGTTACTGTATGGAAGTTGAAATACAGAGCAGTTAACTTGTTCAAGTGTGTTGATAATTAGTATTACAAGGTACACAGACCCTTATGTCAAATTTAGCCATGAAGCCATTCCATTATTCATAACCTCTTCATCTTTATTCCCAAAGGCACCAGGTAGCATCTAACTTGGATTCCTTCTCAGCCTTTTGGCTAACATCAAGTATAGTATCTAACTTGGGTACAGGGGTATGCAATCTTCAGAAATATAATTCTTGATAATAATTTTTATTCTCTAAACTATACTGTAAAATCATGACGTGTGATTTTTAGTTTGTTTCTCATCTTCTAGTTTCTCTAAATATTCTGGTCACTATACATTTAAAGGGAACTAAATCTTATGGGACTCTTACGTCAACCAGTTTATGAAGCTAGCTTATCCACTCAGCTAGTGCACCACACTTAACTTATTCTGAAAAAATGTGTTTCCCCAAGTTGAGACATTATTTATATCTAACTGGACATCCTTGTATGTAAGAGCCACTCATACAATACTGGACCACCCATAGCCTTTTTTACATATTTTTTATTACATTTAATTTTATAACAATGTTTCATAGGCTCTGATGTTCCCCTTTCCCCTCCTCTTGCCCTCCCCCCATGGTGGATTGCTCCACCTTATTGCAGTATTACAGTTCAAATCTAGCCTTGTTTCTTTCAATGCAAGCATGTGCCTTGCATATTGTCCAGTATCTTATTGCCCAGCTGAATTCAACAGTTCCTTGGGGAGACCAACTCTGGTCTGGAGACACAGCTATCTAGAAGTAGACTACATTTAATACATGCTGAATAAAAAGTTTATTTTTCCTTACTAAAAAATAGGTTACAGAATTTAAAACAAGGTATTACAAATAAACAATTGAAGTATAAAGACTTAATCTCACACAGCACACTTGTAACATTGCCTTGTTTGCTCTTATTTATAGAAAAGTTAATACATAAGCATATTAAACTTACCTCACTCATTTGGATAGAGGTATCTATTTCTCCACTGGCTATTCTCCCTACATGAAATAAGAAAGAGAAAAACATGTCATACTGGTCAATTGATTGGAATATGCTGAAACTTTTGCAGGAGATGATAATAACAATTGAAAAAAATATTAATCCTCAAAGAAAAATGCTGGAATAAAATGCATATTTTTGGAGTTTAGCTATTCCAATCTCCAAAATTAGTCTCATTAAAAACTGATTATAATTTAGATGAAATGCAACAGATAATGGTGTGTGGAGCATATCTGTAAGATAGTAACTCTACTCTGATTGGATCTGTTCTTATCCATACCTACAAAAATGTCCAAACAAAAAAATCCAGTAGAAATGTTCAATGATATCTCATATCACTATATGAGTTCAAGGAAAATCTTGACTCTTTTCCAGGAAATGAACCAGACTGCTTGCAAGTAAAGTAGTACCAGAGCTCTACCACTTTGTAGGCAGGCCAAATTACTCATTCCTACCAACCTAGCCAAAACATATTCATAATAGCTAGGTGTTTAACCATTCAGAGTAAGATGTAGATATCAGTTTCTGATTGTAGAAAAATGGTAACTCAGAATTCATATTCTTATCTCTAAGTGATTCCAAACTTAGGAAAATAGTGATAATAATAAAAGTCAACAACTCTGCATAAAGTGTTCTTAAGGAGCCGAGACTCTAATGTAGCATACTAAGCTTCTGTCTGCAGTGATGGCATTTCATATAGATACCAGTTCAAATCCTGGCAGCTCCACTTCCACTGCAGTGCCTTAAAAATGGCTGGGAAAGCAGAAGAGGAAGGCTCAAGGTCTCGGATCCCTGCACCCATGTTGGACACTAGGAAGAAGCTCCTGCTTCCTGGCTTTACATAGCCCCACTCCAGCCACTACAGCCATTTTGGGAGTAAATAAGCAGGTGGAAGATCTCTCTCTGTGTTTCTCCTTCTCTCTCTGCAATGCCATCTTTCAAAAAAATGAACAAATCTTTGAAAAAAAATTTCATAAAGAAATCGTCACATTGGAAATCAGATATTGCTATTACTTATAACTCATTCCAAAACAACTATAATTTTATCATAGTTTATATTCTGAAAATACAGAATATAGAAATTTATTGTTTGTACAGCTTTTTTGCAATGCAAAAAATCACAACTCATTTCACAAAACAGTATTTAATATATGCTAAATTAATTGTATCTGGTTTACAACAGTATTCTTTTTCACAGATGATGCGAATCACTCAGCTATTCTTCCTAATCACTGAGCTCATTACATAAATGAAGCTATTTATGATTCAGGTAAACCATTGGGAGTCAGCTGGAGGTAAGGTCCAAAACCTGCTATCAAACTGCATGGTCATTATCTATTCATTTGTTAAAATAAGGCTATATGTGAAAATAGACACTGGCTTGCAAGAAATAGTTACTTCATGTAATTTTTATATTATTTTTAAAAGTAGTTGCAAGATCCAGATTGATAACAAAAGACAAGATCACAAATGATATAGTCTTTGCCAATGGCAGATTATTATAGTTCTTTAAAATTAACTAAAAGCAGTCTTACTCTCCAGCTTCATTTTCTTGCTCTGTGAAATCTGATCAGTTTTCCTGTAGTCTCATATTTTCCTTCAGCCTCCTTTCTGTGGTGCCTTAACTCAGTTACTCCTTTACAAGAAATAGTCTATTTGCTCCCACTCACAACCTTACTTGGGTAATAATTCACATCCTTGAACTATAATCTTGAAAGTCTCTTTCTCTCTAGGAAAACCTCCTCTCACCTAAGTAACTTCTTCAGATCACCTAATACATGTCTAATTGATGCACTAATCATATTTTCAATTCTAAATGATTATGTTACTTTTTATTTATATGCTAATTTTACCCCCCTCCAAAAAAAAAAACACTAACTTCTGAAAGATGGGCACACTGTCTTATTTTTCTCTAGATAGCACAGTGATTGGCTAGGGAAAATTGCTTGACAAACATAGTTTTAAGGGAAAAAAAATGAATGAGCAGGCCAGCAAGGAAGCTGATTCTTTTATTATTATTGACATAAATGATAAGACAAAAATATGTAGAGAACTTGCCGTATGCCAGGCTCTTCATTCAGGGCCTAATTGAGCTTGTTAGGGCTCCCAAGAAGACAATTTGTTTTCTTCTTTCTACAACTTAACACAATAAACACAGATTTTTGATACTCCTTACGATTTTCCAGCGACACTCCATGGAAACTCCTTAAAGACTTGAGTGACTGCTGTATATTTCCCTGCAGAAGGGGAGATGTCCTTATGATAGGGGGATAGAGAACTGGATGACCCAGGCAACATGCAGTAAGATGAGTCTTTTCCTGTTAGTACCACACTTTCTGGGTTGACTATCCTTCATTCACTAAGCACTGCACGATCATATTTACTAGAGAAAAAGCATAGGTTGACTGATAGTCCTTTCTATGTTTCTCTGATAGGACACACTTAACTTCTATCATCATTCCATTACTCTAGACGCAGAGCAGATCACTGTGACAAAATAAAGCTAAGACCTTGGACACCATTGTATAAAATGTACCATATTAGACAAGGTTCTTTTAAAAACCGTTCTCTTTTTTCTCCAAGCATCACATTAATTTGGGAGTTGTTATGGACTGGGCGTAGTTTCTCACCCAGGAGTCTACTGTGATTGATGGCTTGGCCCTCAGAATAACATTGTGGGAAGCAGATGAAACCAATGAGAGGAGCCGTCTAGTGGGAGGCCTTCGATCACAGGGGACCCGAGACAGCTTTTGGTGACCACATCAACTTACTGCAAGAGGGCTGTCAACATTGTTTTTTTTTAAAGGAGAATGTAGGAAGGAGGAGGGGCGGTGGCAGGAAGGCCGTGCTGTGTGTGGCAAAGTTAAATGCCTGAGTCCATCCTGCACAAATCTAATTCAAAGCATGGGAAAAGATTCAAAATGTATACAGAAAAAAATATAAATAACAGACATATTCTTATTCAATCTTAAATATTTAGTAACTACTTTTTCAAAAATTCATGGCATGATTTTTCTTAGAAACAAATATCAGAGTTTACTGTCAGGAATACAACATGAATTTCAAGCAAAATTTCTAATTAAAATTTTTTAAAAAATCTATAAAACACCACGACATTTCTCTAAGACTTTCTGCATGAGAGCAGTGAAGTTAATACAGCTGCTTGATATTTTATAATGAAATATGTAGGCAATTGGCAGATCCATTTAACTTAGTGAACTAATATTTTCCAAGAAATTAGCACATGAGGTTATAGAGCTTAAATTGGTGAAAAATATAAAGTATAAGACAATTCAAGTGGTTTCGAAGTAGCAGAGAATGGAAAGTTCATTTTGCTGGCTTAAATTCCTCATAACATCTGCTTTTATGAACCCATGATTAGGGCTTGGTGCAGTAGCCTAGCTGCTAAAATCCTCAACTTTCAAGCCTGAGTTCTAATCCTGGAGGCCCTGCCTCTCATCCAGCATCCTGCTTGTGGCCTGGGCAAGCAGTACAGGAAGGCCCAAAGCCTTGGGACCCTGCACCCACGTGGGAGACCCAGAAGTCCCTGGCTCCTGGCTTCGGATCTACTCAGCCCCAGCTGCTGCAGAGACTTGGGGAGTGAATCTAGCGGATGGAAGATTTCCCTCTCTTTCTCTCCTCCTCTGTATATATTTGGCTTTCCAAAATAAATAAATATTTTTTAAGAATGTAGGATTATTATTTTTTTTTTAATTGAAAGCCAGATATACAGAGAGGAGGAGAGAATGATCTACTGTCCGCTAGATTCACTCCAGTTGCAGTGGCCGCAATGGCCAGAGCTGCACCAAACTGAAGCCAAGAGCCTGGGGCCTCTTCTGGTTCTCCCACATGGGTTCAAGGTCCCAAGGCTTTGGGCCATCCTCCACTGCTTTCCTAGGCCACAAGCAGGGAGCTGGATGGAAAGTGGGACCACAGGGATGAGAACCAACACTCATATGGGATCCCGGTACGTGCAAGGCAAGGACGTAATAGCCATTAGGCTACAGTGCCAGCTCTATTAGTTGATTTTTACTATAATATCAAAGAAATTTGTAATTGCTTTAAACCCATTAAAATCATACTTGCTATTTGAGTTATCTATCTGTAAACAGGCAGATTTTCTTTACAGTTAACCAAAACAAGATGCTAGGCCAATTTAAAAGTTACTCTTCCATTTGGCCAGAGGTTATAGACCTTTTAAAAATATTTATTTACTTATTTTTATTGCAAATTCAGATATAAAGAGGGAAGGAATAACAGAGAGGAAGATCTATCTTCTGTCTGCTGATTCACTCCCCAAGTGACCGCCATAGCCGTAGCTCTGCCAATCCAAAGCCAAGAGCCAGGAACTTTCCCCACATCTCCCATGCAGGTGCAGAATCCCAAGACCTTAGGCTGTCCTCAATGGCTTTCCCAGGTCACAAGCAGGGAGCTGGATGGGAAGCGGGGCTGCCAGAATTAACATCAAATTTCAGATTTAAAAGCTAAGTGACAAGACAGAACTGATCACTCATGCCTTCATTCATTTCAGAAGATGCCATTTAATAAAGTGGAAATCATTAACGGTGCATGAGTGAGACAGAAGAGGCTTCCAGCTGCCCAGAAATGGCCTGTCTCCTTCTTTAGTAACAGGACTCTCATAAAACATGGTTTAGGTGTGTGATCTAATAAACTAAACAAAGCGAAGAACTTCCTAGCTTTCCTTGGACAATAAGTCAAAGCTCTTAAATATCCTGTAAACAGTATAATGATCATCTGACCCTTGACCTTAGCCAAAAGGCTGAGAAGTGGTATATAATTCGTCTCACAAAGATTTGCACAAGTAACAAATGAGCAAATACATGCCCTTGGCCCACAAGTGATCAATAAATATCAACATTTGTTGATACTGTCTCTTCCATTACTAATTCACAAAACTGGTATGAGTTCTTTGGTCTAAGGTCAGTGTCAGAATGAAGTTCAAAAATTATTTTCATTCTCAGGTTCTTTTAATTGCAGT